GTCAGTATTTCTAATACCAAACAATTCTAAGATTTCATTCACAAAATGTTTCTGTCAAGCCATTATGGTCGCTTTGAAAAAGTTCACAGTCGCATTTAGGAAAAAAATGAAGGAAAGAAATAAACGTCCTGTTGAATATCCGTAAATTTACATATTAATTTCAACACACAATAAGGCAAGACAAAAAATAAATTAGACGAAGAAATCTTATCAAGTTTATGAAAACACATCCCATTCCTGGAAAAATAAATCTCTCCACTTTTCAGATGAAAATTTTTAAATCTACTTCTTATCCTCTTTCAGCTAGTAATGAGCAAAAATAAAATAGATCAATAGGAAATTCTTTTCGTTCCAGAATTTTAGTCAGTTTAGTAAAATTTGTGATTTTCTTCCCAAACTTTGATCTACAAAAGTTATCAGCTGTGTTAAAAATATGGGAAACATATAATAATGAAAAAAGAACTCATTGACTCGTAAAATTCAAAAAAGCAAGGAAAAATACACTTACAAGTAGCATCAACAATGCCTTCATGTCATCTCTCTATCCCTAAATCAGCAATGCCCTCTCTATTTACCAAACCAGGTCTGGAATACTACCTAACTATAAATTACTACCTCTATTGTTACGTTAACTAATGTTACTCGTTAGAACTCATCAGTCCACTCATCCATCGAGCATTTTCCATAAAATCTCCCGAATTTTGATGACACTATGCTTATACAAATATCTGACGCTCAACCTGCCTCTATCCTCAGCATTAGCATTTTATACTCATCCTCATAGGTATGAAATGGACGTAACCAAATCATAATGGAAGTAGCAAATGATGCCAACAATACAAGAAATGATTATTTTAATTCTCTTAAAATAATTTCTGTAACGTGTTGGAAATTGGAATAGTTTGAAATAAACAATGTTGCACAAAAAGTTCTATCAAATAATAAATCCTTCCACAAGATGATGACTATTAAAACATCCTCTAATATTTAATTAAGAACAAATAAACCAAAAGCTAGAAGACTTGATATCTTCATCTTAACGAAAAGAGATAAAACTTCTTATCGTCGTAATTCTGTCTGAAAAAAAGTAAACAATAATTCCAACAGAACTACATATTGCTATGACAAAAAGTGTAAGCAGTAGTAATAACGATAAAAGATTGCTTTACTAAAATGATAAATAATGTTAGATAAAAACTGATTTGAATAACTCATGGAAATTTATGAACGACATGTTAATTAGTTAATTTTAGTTGAACTTCATTCGACTCCTTCTACTCGCAATCAATCTTTTTTTTAACTGATTGAACTTGTTGGCTTTTTGACTTCTTTCCACATAATGATGTGTAAGATCAGAACTGGGAAAAGAACATGAAGCATAGCAATTTGAATGACTAGCAATCCGGAATTATATAAAGTACATAATTACCCGGAATCTCTAATTATATAAGACATATGATTATAAAATATAACCTAGATTACTTGAACATTGAAATGTAAACAACCAAGTTGTTCCAATGGAAGCTATTTGTTAACACATATGAATAGAATTCATAATATAGGAATACTCAAGTCCAATCCAATGTTGAACAGGGAAAACAAGTTGAAATAAATGGGAACAAATAAAATTGAGATATAAAAATTCAGCGAGTAGAAACGCATGCATTAAGAAATTTTATGAAATATTAAATTTAGCGAATAAACACAGCACACCACCCCTTTAATTATCAATTTTTGCAGTTTCCTACTTTCTCTATTCATATATTTTCCGATCTTTCCAATCTTCTCCAAAATCTTTTTACTGTTTTCTGTTTTTCTATTTTTCTCATTCCAACTCATGCTGAAAAAAACAGATATTTACTACAATATCCTACATTGCTAATAATGAACAACTTAATCATACGATTTTGATCACATTAACCATACAATTTCTACAAACAGTTCTATTAAAAGAATAATTATATCTATATTACACTAATCTTAAATTCTACATTTCAAGAATTGATTATTGGTTCTATATTTCTAAAAATGGATGACGTCGTATTCTGATTACAACTAAAAAATAGAGTGTAAAAGATGGTATCCATCAAAAGCGTATATCATATCGCATTATTTCGAAATTGTCTTACATAAATCATAAGCATAAAATAAAATAAATTGAAAATAAAGTGTTTCATTTCCAAAATATGATGTTCACTTTAAACCAACAAACCTTTAGCAAAGTTAAAATTGATATTTCGATAATATTTAAAAATAATTCCTATAAAAGAGTTTAAGTTTTCTCCCCAAAAAATATCAAATTATAAAAAAATTTTGAGTCTTAAAGAAAATTCAACTGTTTAAAGAGATCCACCAATAAAAATTGATGAATTGAATTAAAAAAAATATTACTTATCTAACTGTCTCCAATTTCATACAACATTTCTAAGCATTCTTCATTGAAGAAATACCTCTTTTTCTTAATTATATTAGTAATAAAAGGAGAAAGGAAAAAAATGTAATGAACTCAAATGATGCTGCAATGGACAAAACCCGCACTACGAAAAGTTTTGAGTGAAGAAACCGCAGAATGTGAACAAAACAGGCATATAATCTCATTATTGTTAAGCCTCTGGTAAGAATGGAACAATCATTGTGAAGATGAAGAATGACAATAACAGCGAAAATCTCTAAAAGCCAGTACAATCAACATTATTTGAGGTCAATAAACATCGTGAACTCTTTGCTTATAAACGAGGATAGGATGATGAGAAGTGCAGAGGTTCGATTGTTGAGGTCAATATGCAGGCACATTAAGCAACATAACACAACAGCCACAACCTATCACCAATACCCACTATTACCACTGACCACCACAACCATGACAAGTACCATCATCTCAACAGCCGTCACTCTACACTTTTTGATGTGATTAAGGAAAGAGAGAGGGAGAGAGAGGGAATAATGGTGCTGAAATGGGAACGGAAAGTCGAGTTGTTGACAGTGGGTAGAAGATTCCGGAAGGACAAAAGAGAAATGAGAGGCAAGGGAGAGGGGAATGAAAGGGGGTAAAAGGCAGAATGAGATCAATGAATGATGGACACATGAGAAGAGCAAGATGTTTGAGAGAGAGAAAGGGAGAAGAAAAAGAAGCAAAAGCCGAAATGGCTCCTTAAAGCTAGAGGTAGGCAATACTATTCGAAGATTTCATTTGATGGGATGGTTTTATGATTTTAATGAGTAATATTCCCAGTTCTATCCTCAACGAAAATTGTTGAAGATACTTTAACATCAAACCGAATTACTTTTACTCTTTGTAGTTATGGTGCAGGACATGGAGAATAGATAGACGTACGCAACAGCTATGGGGCCAGAAGTAAAGCTTCTAAACTTTTGATAAAAACTAAGATCTGATAAGACTGCAATCTTTTTCAACATTTGGAACTGGAAACGACATTTGCAAAACAACGGTCAGTTATACTGACCATAACGTTGGTGGTCTAAGAAAATTGCAAAAAAAAGACAAGGCGATTAATTGAAAGCCATCTGTCAGGCAATCAGCACTGAAGATCAATGAATGAAATCACGACGCTAAAAAATGGAATAGTAATTATTTGTATTATTTAGAAAAAAATCAAAGTATTTATTTGGAGTAAAATTAAAAAATTATGGAAAAAAAAATCCCCACCGGTTACACTATACGGGTCATTTTAATTTCGACTTCAAAAATTATAATTACTAATTGAATAATTTCCTAGTGAGCATTCGTCGTATCAGAGATCATGTTTGAATTGTACTTCAGGTAAAAACGGTAGCACTGGCCAACAGTTCATTACGTATCATCTAGATGATTAATCGTGACCGTTCAATGGCCCATTACTTCACTTATTCATACTTCAGACACACTTAAAAATTTAGGTATCCAAGTTTATAAAGGATGGCTCAAAACACGAGGTTTGATGGACATTTTGTCAAAAAGTGTAAGTAATATATGTAAACAACAACAAAGTCATCCTGAAAAATGCACAGTACGACCAAAAAGCAGCAATATTTTGAAGCAGTTTTTATCATTTAAATAAATTTGTGATCTGCATATCTAGGATCAAATATGCCTTTTTAAAACAATTTAACACTTGTCTGGTAAGACATATCACTACTGATATGAACACTTACAGAATGAATAGCACTATTCTCAAATGTTCAGTAAACACAACTTTTAAAATCAAAAACTATGGCAGCAACACTAACTTCAATTATACTTAAGTACTAAATAAGGCAAAAGACAAAGAAGAAAGAGCTAGTCCACTTAACAAAAATATTTTGCTTGAAAAGGTACATTCACCGGAAAAAAATTATTTGTGAGATAAAAAACAAACCGTTGCGTAACTGGATAAATATTAAAAACCAAAAACGCACATAAGACAAATCAAACAACTTTACCACACATAAATGATAATATTAAATTAAGCGAACAAGCAGATAGAAAATGAAAAATTATAAAATTAAGTGAAACAAAAATAACAAAGATATGTGTAAATAATGAAGGATATGATTCAATTTTTCAAACTAGTAATATCACGAGGCGAAGATGAGTGTGATACAATAAATTTTGATATTAACAAAGGAAGATGAAATGTAGAAAAAACCAAGTCCTGACATGTTTAGCGAGCTTACGAAACATAATATCCAAAAAATCATAAAACTTAATATTTACACAATAAAATAAAATAAGTGAAAACTGTGTATTTCCTTAATTTGAAGGCTTGAAGAAATAAAAAAACGAACAAAGCCTGACGAACAAACAAAAAAATATTAATAATTACAATTACTGTTCTTCTTCATAAGTTTGAAGCTAAATGACTCAGTAAAACTGAGAGCTTCTTGCAAAGCTGACATAAATATGATCACAGCAGTTCAAAAAAATTTCGAGCAGTGAAGAAAAAAGCCATCAGCAGGTGGGTAAGTGAGAATAAATTCTCCGAAATCATCAAAAGTAAAATACTATAAATCATAAAGGGAAATCATATTGGTAACCAGTTCTTTAATCTTAATCCTTGGTTATCACAGAAATGGTCGGTATAGGGTATACAGTTGAAATACTCGCAATACACGCAACTAAAATCAGTCGGCCAATAGAACATACTCAACAAAACGACGAATAAACCAAGTGCAGTGGAAAGTGATGTGACCACAATTACTAGTCGTCGGGTGCGATTACGACGCTTTGTTTGAATATATGGAAGTACAGCTAAAAATTTAATTGTCAAATTGATGCGAGCTGTATGATAAGGTTCGATTTTGAAATTATAGCATGCAAATGTGACCCGGCACATTATAACAAAAAAGGACATCTTAATAACACAAAATAACGTGAACGAGAAAAGTACAACACCAGACATATGCAGCTAATTAATGACATCATGCTCTGATGCTTCTACAACAGGTAAATTAGAAAATTAAAATTAACAGCTCGAAGTAAACGTCAATGCTTAAGTCATAAGACAACGAAGATGAATAGTGGTCAAGATGCATGCTATATCTTGTCATGGCAAAAAAAATTTGGGACTGTTTACCTGAGTCCAGAAAAAGATTTTGCATCAAAAAAATTCGGTTAGTAAGGTAATAATAGATAATTTTTTTGTTATAAAATCACATAAATGTAGTATTTGGAATTCGTATAGATCAAGTTCGCCAACTTTTAAAACTTTAAACCAAACTAACTTGCCTAAAGATATCAAAATTCCGAAGACGAAGCCGAACAAATGTGCCCAATTATCAACCCATGGTAATGTTCCAAGAGCGAAAAGAGCTAGAGTAAACAAGATCAATTGCATAACTGCCTGCCAAGGTCTTTCCAGGAGATTCCTCAAAACATATGATTAACTGATAAGTATTAAGAAAACACATACATGTAGACAATAGTTAGGTTCAACTTTCTTGACTTCAAAATTAATTCTTTTGTACCAAATAACATCATTAAAATTTCATGATCTAAAAAAATTGTAAAATTTAAGAGTTCTAAAAGCTATGAAAAAGAAAGTTCTTACCAGCTATAAATCACATCGACATACATCGTGGCAAACATCCCAACATGTGATCCCGCTGGACCAACTTCCGGCTAAAATATTCAATTGCATTTTCTATTTTCGAAAATTTATAACATGGATTTCAGCATCACAGCACTATCTAATGATTTTGTTGTTTCAAAACTGACTAACCCTTATTGTTAGATTGTCCGATTAATCAAAATAATATTGCTTACACATAATTTACTTACCTTATAAGGAACAAAAACTGCACCGGCCAAGTATCCACCTATGCCAGACACCATATAAAGAAGTGCTATGCGCGTCCATCCAAGCAATTTCTCCAAATCTCTCATGTATAGAATTTGAATAAAAACAGTTAAAATACAATGAATTATCCTGGAAAACAAAAAATTTGCGCAAACATAATAAAACAAAAGTCTGCATTTAATTGCTACTCAAATTTTAAATAATCGCATTAAGTAAAAAGAAATATCAAAAAAATACCCCGCATGTAGGAAAAGTGGTATAAACAGGCGATACCACTGGTCTGGCTGATTTTTTCGCAAAAATGGGAGCATCCCGCATACTTCACTCAAACACGACACCTGTAATAAATTCATATCAACGACTTATAAACAGTTCAAATTCTACACATTGAACTTACCACACTGAAATAGCGATGATCAAAAAATTAGGAAAAGATAAAACTATTTGATTGTGATTTAAATCTCGCTCCCAATATCTTTTGCTATGCTTCCTGAGATAAACATGACACACAGTAGATGAGGGATTCAATTTAGGTACTATACGAATAATTAATACTGAATCTACCTGCTGTTCCCGCCAAATAGATTTTCCAATTTTTCATTTTTCATTTTTCATTAGTTTTCATTATTTTTTTCATTTTAATTATTGTTATCAGCCCCTTTATCAGGTATCTTTTGGTAAAAACAAAAAAATTGTTTTTTCTTAAATTATGCCTGAAAAACTGCCTAAACTACGCTTCCAGAACTATAAGCTGCGCTTTCTAATTGTTATATATGTAGTAACAGTGGTAAGTATTAGTAATAATGATAATAAAGACAATATTACCTGAGAACAAAGTGTTGCATTTTCATGAAAATATCCTTCCACAAAATCGCAATAATCCCTAGTAGTTATGCGACATTGTCCATGCAATTGTATGCAACAAGGGCGGCCAGTAATTTCACACTGCATGTGCATAACATTCTCAGGTACAAAAAGCGTTATCTGTTTGCATATCTGTCGAAAATTGACTTTTTAAATGCACTGCTCAATTGTCTAATAACTATTTTCAACAAAACACTATCATTGATTCGCCGTTCCATTGTGCTAGTAATTAACTTCATGAATTTCGTTATGCTCAAGCATAAAATAATATAATAATATAGCAATAAACTTACAGGCCACTGCGTCATATCATCCGGCCATTCGTACGGCTTCACGGAAACTGGATTCTCGCAATATCTGTATCACTTTTTTTTGATTTTTGAAATATATTCAGGGAAATACTACCGACATTTGATTAAAAATGATCAAAAACAATTCATAAAGCATACCTCGGGTCTTGACCACAAACAGCGCCCGATACACGGCCTTCTGGACCCGGACTATCCTTCTTCCATCTTACTAGTGTTGCTATCAATGACTAAAAGTTAAGACTAAGTATCTTAATAAGCGAAATTCGTATTTCTCTTATCAAAATATACTTTTTAAGGCATTACTCACCAACTGATTATTTAGCATCATTGCCTTGCTCTTAAAATTCTCCTAAGATTTTATTCATAATATTCTGCAATTGCTACATTACTTTCTTTCGTGCATTTCTTCATCGAAGATTTCGCACAGCAAAGACATTTCCCTCAGACAGTGCTTTACTGATTAGTTCTACTGGAAAAGATTTTAAACGGAAACCTAATGAAAAGATTACCAACGACGAAAATTTTATGAGCATATGAATAATCGAGGCGAGGAAGTAATGAAAAAAGTGTTTTAATAAAAAGGAAGTAATGAAAAAAGTGTTTTAATAACAAATTTATCGAAGATCACATTATTTGAAATGCCTTAAGTCAATAACACTAAAAGCTATCTTCAGTCTATCACGAATTTTAGTGAAACTAAGATCATGATATAGTTCTCGGAGCGTTTTGATGATGAAGCACAAAATTCAGTGGTATTAAAAAACCAACTGCAAAATAACGACTTGCCGGAATAAAAAAATCACTGCACAAGTGGCAATAAAAATTGTAAAACATACTGGGCAAGTAGTCTGTCCAGTTTGAAAACATCCAGTACCATCATTGTAAATACAACAGCCGGTTTCATTTTCTTTCTTATGATCGGCTTCAATTTGCTCAAAAATTCTTGAATCCTTACGCATACAAGGTGTAAATTTAGCACCCAGATGTATCAAATCAGCCTTAAAATTCAACAAACATTCCAACGTTCAACATATATCTTTTATAGAATATAAATAATTTGTTAGTTGACCTGATTTCCAAAATAATTTGGTCCATAATTGCTAATAAAACAAGGATGATAACACCTTCTCACATGACATGTGACCGTATATGAAATCCTAATAATAGCTGGTGACAAAAGCTGCTCAACTACAGCGTTTATTTTTGACTTGATACATTTAACAGACAATTTATTGATGCGCACTTTTCAGGTTTTTCGTCTATATAATCTTGAAACAGCTTTTGCGATTTCGTAAGAATTTAATCCAACAATCAAAAAGACTTAAAAAAATATATCAAAACCAATTTATATAATCGAGAAATAAACAGTTAAATTAGTTTAAACTCACAAATTTCGGTCCAAGCCAAATATTCTGCTGCACATAAATACCGACCCTTTTCAATGTAACAGTGGTGTGCAATACATCAGCTGTCCTTTCCATAAGACCGAACCCCCAAGGACCAATTCCATACGTATACAAACTGATCACAGTAACGAGTATTTGAACTGTCGTAATCCAATAAGTAAAGAAAGGCCTCAAAACAAGAAAGATGAATGAAAATACCTAATTTTCCAAAAGCGAATGATACTTTGGATCTCACATAATTCTTAATCACTTTGAAACCTAACTATAAACTAAGTTTTAAAATTATTTTAAATCAACCATTCATTTCAAATCATCCCGCTAATCAAACGTACCTGCAGTCAATGTAGGTATCGTCATTCAACTGATAAACATCCCTCCTATAGCTTCGTTGAAAATATTTTCGCCATATTCCAAAACCACCCCCAAAACGACGGTGATGCGAAATGCAATACTTCCTCGATTTCAGCTCATTGTGTATCGCCTAAAAATGTTATAATTTAAAAGAAACATAGTACGTTTTTTTAGCCGTAGAACATATGTCGTTGTCCTATTTAAATAGATTTCAATTATTGATAGAACTTCAGTAACTGATGCCGGATCCTTCGTGATATTCAACATGCCATTATTATACAAGGATGAAGAAACTTTCTAGCACTTTTTAAATATATCAGCATGAGAAACGAAGTAAGTGCCTAAAATTTTATCACTTTCAATAACGAACGAAACGGAATTGTTGATAAAATAGCATCTTAACTAAATAAACTCACATCCAACAACAATTTTTTTCGCACATTTCTGAATGTTTCTACAGTTCCTTTAGTCTTTTTCTCATCAACAGCTTGAATATTTTGCAACCATTCCTAAAACAACACAGAAACAATTTGATGTCAAAAACCTCTGAAAAATGTCATATAAGTTATGTTTTAGAAAGGACTTACTTTTGGGCTTGAAAAAGCACTGCACAAGGATGCAAATGCTGCTGACTTCTGAAAAATAAATAACTTATTATTTGCATGAATAAGACAGAAACTATACACCTTGAATAAATAAGACAGAAACTATGCAGTACTCGATTCTATAAAAATTCGACAAAATACCTTTTCGATCCATATCACTAACTTTTGAACTTTGGAAAGAAACTCAAATTCTTTAAACCAAATAAAAACAAACGAAGAATTAAGAAAAACATATGAATTATTTTAAGGGAATCACGCAATTGTCCTGTAACGTTGGCTTTACATTAAACATTTATTTACTAAACAACAGAAGTAATAGTTAAGGACTTCAAACTACATTATGTTTTATCACTTCATGTATTTTATGATAAAATAACTGATTTACTTTAAAGTACTACTAATTAACGAGTTAAGTGTCGTGATTCAGCTGTTACATACCAAAATACAAAAAAAGCAATTTCCTTATGTACACTATCAAATCATTTTTGCTCCAGCCTATCTTTTTGATTCTCAGCTTATCTTTAGATTAATGGAAAGCATAAAAGACTGATTTAGCAAGTGCGGCAAAAACATACATGTTCGAAATCACTAGATGTTACCATAGTGTTATCAAGGCATTTCTGTTCCAAATGTCTGACACGATGCCGCACTTGCTAAAAAATAGACAAGCCACAAAATAATTGAAAACTAGGAAAAGAAATTCATCACAGACATGCTGAAACACTTTATTAGGGAGACCAAAAAAATAGAATCAATACAACGACGACGGGGTCTACCTATGAAGACATAACATAATTAACAGCGTTGGAATCAAATTAATGTATAAAAGAGAGTACCCTTAGAAACAAACAGCATCCTGCTGATTATTATTTACTTACCTAAATTACATGCTTTATAAAAATACCCGCTTCGAAATTCACTAGATCCTAACAAATTCAAAATTATTGAGAAATACTTTTTTGAATAATCACGAAATAATTTTTTGTTTGATTTAGCTGGATTTAAAAGCATATATTTAAAAATTTCAGCAGAGAATTAAAGCGCTCGCACAGCATATTTTGGAACAATAGAACTTCCACTCAGTTTTTTGTACCATTCAATTTTTTTCGCATTAAACAAATTTTACGCTGCATAAGTAGTTTTTACAAAACTATTCCAAAAAACATGAAAAATCTCTCCAAAATTCTGCAACTAATTTTTTACCTCTTTCGAACATTGTACCTGCATTTCCTCCAATGGAGGTCCATCAATTTTGCGTGTTCCATCACGTACATTTCCCACATCGTCTTCCACCAGATCGTCTTCAGAACAAAACTTGAAGAGTAAATAATGAAATTTGTGGCAAACGAGATAAATATACACTCAATAAAACACCAAAAATCACAATTTCTTTAGATGTCAAAAAGTTCGCTTTAATTCAAAATCTAATTCTGAAAAGATTCATTAAAATCCGAAAAATCTCATAAGTGCATAAATTTCAGCTGCTGAATATTGGATTATTTTCCATTGAAGAGGGATCGAAATTCAATCAATACATAAAATAACAACACGAAGAAAAATTACCTTTTTATATATTGTTATAATTGGAATTCTCTCATCAGGCAATCCTTGGCAATGATGCATTTGCAATGAATTTGTTTGCACTTCTGAATAATAAAAGCAGAAATTTTTTGAATTCTAATTTCAATTTCTATCTTATTTTCATATCAATGCATTTTTCTGCTGGAACTAAGGGCTATTTGCTCCCTGAATTGTCCAACAAAAAAAGTGCTTTACATTAATGGAATATGGCTTTCTTGGATATCGGTCCAACTGACCGTGAAATATATTCTAATTTACTTACCCTTTATTTCCCTTTAAATCTCAACTCTAACTCCTATTCAAAATTTCTAGGTCATATGATAACTTAAGCCGGTAATCCACTAGTTCTTTATTTTCTACTTTGATCTAATAAAGCTCTACAGAAAATTTTCATAAAAACTTCTACAAGAATTTTTATACAAAGTTATGCCAATTCACTACTTCGCAAAGCATCAAGTAAACATGAAAATCTTTGACTATTCTGTTGCAAAAACAGAAGAGCTTCATTAACAATTATGCCGTTTTCTTAAAGTACAGAATTGGCAGTATTTTTGAACAAAGCAAAAAAATCCTTGAAAACAGTTAGATGAAGCAAGATCAACAGAAATTAAAATATGCAATCAAGAAATACCTCGATCAGTATCGGAAATATTGGACAAAACTGAAGGTGAAGTATAATCAAAAAATACTTCATCCTGTATAGACTCTATACTTGATAATGGTGCAGAACCCTTCAAATATCCTATAATTAGCATAAAAATACTTATTCTACTGAATTATTAAATCTGCTTCATTTTCCCTTCCCTTAACTACGCTCCTGGTTTACAAATTTCGGATCAAAATTCAAAATGGAATTTCTTAAAAATGTTCCACAAGTATATATGCGCATATTAAAATCTTAAAGCATTTTCAACATCACTGATCAAATTTTCTTCCATTAATCTAAGACATTAAGAATAGCAGCAAACTTATACCTTTTCTTTCACTACTTCATGTTCAACAACAGTTTGTTCTTCAACTTGTGATCTCACAGGAATTACAAGTGTATTATATTTTGTTAACTGTGAAGGCAATACAGGTTGTATCTGACCAATAACTTTCGTAGGAAGTGCGTCACGTGCAGAGGCTTCTATCTCTGACAGAAAATGAATTTCTGGCCGATTCTGAAAATTGATTTTCGCTCCATCAATTCGGAACAGATTATAGTCCATGCCAAAAAGCATGATCTTCATATTTTTGAAATAAACGTTCTGGACAAAACTGAAACTCTTTCAAGGTGCTCACTTTCTCAAGTGAAGAAATTTCAACTTCTTTTTCATCCAGCTTTCTAGGTTTATTCGTTGTATTCACCAACTTATGACTTTCAAAGTCAACTTCCCGGGTTATAGACACGCCTTTTGCTATAAGAATAAATATGATAGATTATTGAGAAGCACTAAATTTAGTGAAATTTCTGTGGACGAAAATATAAGTTCCAACAATTTGAAAATCTCTTGAGAAACAATTGAAATTTCAGAATCACATAATACTTCTGAGGAGTTTCGAGAAGCAATAGAAAATTCTGAAGCTATAATGGAAGGGTTGTCTGTTTTCAATGTCATAATATAGCAATATTGAAAGCTGAAATAAACTAAAAAATTTTTTAGAACTAAAATCGGGGATAAACAACTCCGTAAGAAAGTTTTCATATTAGTGTTGCGAAACTTATAAAATCTCTTTGCAGATTACATCAAATTGCCAAATACAGTTACTGTTCTGCGAAGTTCAGTAAAAGCACTATTCTCACCAACAAAGGTATCCGCCATCTGTGGTCCAATTCTGATACTGGTAATTTTCCCAGTCTGCTGAGCTGAAAATCGTGCAAAACTGCTAGATACTGATCGACCACGTTTCACCGTAGCACAAGCTTTTCTTGGTCTTAACGTTCCCCTTGAAAGAAAATAAATCACTTGGTATTTAAGATGAAATGAAAATCACGAAGAAAAGAAATACCACTATGATACAAATCCTAGCTTTTAAGTAGTTGCCCATATATTCAAATGTTTAAAAAAAGAAGGGAATGTAGCGTGATTCAATTCGTATTGCCTAGCATAACAAATAGATAAACTTGTACGTATCAATTCAACAGTTGACAACCACCAACAATGTATCCGGTTAAAGCAAAAGTTAAATCCAGTATTGCAAATATGATTGAAAAATTAGAGCTGAAACCTTTGCACCATCGAAGAAATCCTGTCGAAAACTATTTTCATAACACTGTCACGTCGTTCCAAATGTTGCTGAGTAAACCGGCTTCCACGGCTCTCTACCGATTTGCTTCTGGAAAATGTTTCCTGAAAATGTACCTTTTGTAGAAAAAATATCTGCTCCTGCGTAAGAAAATTAAAAATAAACTCTTTAGAAGAGCGTTTTTTGAAGAATTTGAGAAGGATTGAAGAAGAAATTTCATATATAACATTTTCTGTCCTGATGAATACTTATAGCTTCCACAATCCCTTTGCTCCATTATTTTAAAACTTACATCTGTACTAGCTGCAGATGGTATGCATACAGCCTCATGTATTTCGCCTTGCGGTGTAACACTCTTTGATGGTAATGGAGCATCACTCAGGTCATCTAGAACTGAAGACACATCTGCTCATTTTTGTTGTAATAATTTTGAAAGATTTGAAATCCAAAGCTAATAAATTCACGAAAGTTAATGAATTAAATTTATAAATGCCAAACTGAAAAAGATATAACACTCATGCAAGAAAGTTGTAAACTGGTCAAGTTATTTTTCGCTTCGATATTTGACTACAAATAGCTTTTCAACTGCAAGTTCTATTTAAAAAACGCTGTTATGTGTTAATCTGATTTTCTATGAATAAAATCACTGCTAAGCCCACTATTTCACAGATACGATCAAACATATGAATTCAAACAATGATTAATAAAATTATTATAACATACTTTGTGGTCCTAATTCTCTAGTTAATACATCATCTTTAGGATGCCCATAATGTTTACAGATAAATCGTAGCCGGCGGCAGTTCCATTTCTGATCGACAGGTACACCTTCTGGCGAATGACAATTTCCTAACAATGGAACTCCGAAAAACTTCGCTGTTCCGTTTGATATCGTGTCTCGAATACTGGAAACACTGAGTTTCCTACCCAAAAAATATAACCAAACCTTTTATATTCAAACTTTAGTTAGAAATTTAGACATGAGATATTTTGAAATTTTAAAGTATGTTAAAATTTGCGCTGAACCTATCCCTTACAGACATTTAAAATAGTTTAACATTTATATAGTAAATGAACAGAATTATTTTAATCTAAAAAAAAAAGAATCAGATCAACTGAAGATCCGCAGAGCATCCAAAGATTTGAACAAAACCATTCTTTTTAGTGTGATGAAAATCCATCTCAAAAGGGAAAAGATGATACAAGTGGTAGTATAAGGAAAAAAGCTGGAAGGTTTTCTTCAAAAGAATACAAAATCACAAAAAATGTTCATTATAAAAAGAAAACGATAAAGAAATTAAAAATACAAAAAATAACGGATTACCTTTGTGAATGACTTAAAGGTCGATAAGTTCCAGATTCCTTTAACGAGTTAGAAGACGATGGAAGAAACTCTATGTCCTGCAATTCATTTCAACGGTAATCATCAGACATACAGACAGAAAGAAAATCCTGAGTCACCTGCCTAATAATTTATTTATCTGAAAATTACAATTTAAATTGTGTGATTTGACAGCATTGCTGATAAACTCAGTATTTATTCATTTATGTTCGTTTTTTCCAAAGGCATACTGCATGAAATAAACTAATGGTGACTGGTAGAGTGTAAAGATTTTTTCCCCGTGAAACTCTGTCTTCATTTGGATTATATATATATATATAAAATGTGCTTGACAAATTAAATGTATATAGAACCGGTGAAAGAGTGAAGTAATCTGCTGGAGTGCTTAAACTCTTCATAAGTTTCTGCTGCGTCGGCTTGGAACTTGTACCTTCCGGTACATCACTGTCATCTCTCGCAACAATACTTTTCAACGGCAGTGAGAGATGGGAACGATCTGTCCCACCAAACATCTTCCTTTTTCATTCAATTTCCTGGGACTGAAAATATTATCGAAAATATTGCATCATAATTAAATGATTAGAGCAGTTAGCTGCAACTTATTTGGCGTATCAAATATATATGACATTAGGTAAAGAATAATTCATATCTTTGACAAGGAAAGTAACATACACTTTTATAGTAAAAGTTTGAAAAAGCGTGAAGATTTTTCATCTTAAACATTCCCCAATAAAATTTATGATAGCTCCAATATCAAATTTGGAAAATGATTGAAACTATCAACAATTTTGTGGAATAATTGCATAAAGAAAGATTTGTGGAGTAGTGCAAAAAATTGTTAAAGAGAATTTGCAAAAAATTACGCAAGAAAATATTACACTTAAGAGAGAGAATAACGGCGGAAATGTTACAGTTATCAAGAGACGAATGATGAAATCACCGTACAACAAGAGAGTAAAGAGTTCCAACAAAGACCGATCTTAACCTCCAACTACCTTCTGGTACACGCTATGATGGCCCGTTATATTTTGTATAAAAATGTCTTGCTCGGCTTTATTATGGGTGTGAACTTCTTGTGGATACTGTTTTTTTCCTAGGTTGTATGCATTATCTTCTATATTCTTTCACTTTTTTCTTATTATCACTTTTACTATCATGTACTATAAAACTGTCATCAAAATTACGTCCTTTCTCTCAGATTGTTATCATCACTGTTGTCACTTTCACTATAGATTATCATTTTTGTGATCTTTATTATTATCACTTTTATATCTTTACTATTATTATGACCGATCATTCAGTACAGTCTGGCTTTTCTAGTGGCTTAAAAAGAGATTTCATAGCATTGATCACTGGCTAATATTTCAGGAATGTAAAAAATTTTGAAGCGGGAATTCACATTAAAATGAAGACGCTTAAGCTGAAATGGCTTCGTAGAAGTGAATATAACATCCGAATGCTGTGCACTTACAAACCAAGGATACGAAAAGGTTAATCTTTTTTGGTTTCATGCCATTTGAAAAGTTAATTATTATGACACATACCGATTAAGGCATTTTCTCACCGTATTGATTGATTTGTGTCTGTCAAAGCGGTCGATAAATTAAATTAATTCGTAGGTTCGTATGACTTACTAATTAAGATTTATTCATTGTTCGTTTGTTAGTTTGACACCAAGAAATAGGCGAAAATTTTTGCACGAGGTAAATTTTCGCTTCTCAAAGAACACTTCTAGTTTTGTATGTTTTTTCATTCTTTGATGTCTGCTTATCATATGTGAGATCTCGACAAAAAAAGCTGATGAAATGATTTAATTCACAAATGATGATTTAAATTCACAAATGCTGATGAAATGATTTAATTCACAAATGCATGGTACTAATTGTTATTCATTTTTCTGGAAAACAGCCAATGCGAAATCTTTTCAAGATAAAGATGGAAATTTTCCATCAGTCCCTGTCGTGAAAGTTTTTGATTTGAGTAATCTATTGTTTTGCGGAACAAATATTATTGTAAAGGATTACTCTTTGTGGAATGAGATGAGTTTCATTCTCCTGACGTTATCAGACAGTGTCAGAGAGTGCCACGAATAGAGTCGGGTCATCGTTTGGTAATATTGAAGACCATTAATAACACGGTGGTACCGACATTATTTCTGGCGCAGAATGGTAATACTGCCACATCGAATTATGGCGGTGCATTGTTTAAAGCCATTTTGGAGACAAACAGAGCTAAGTATCAAAGAGTGCCTAACATTTGCAACCACTTAACAAAGTATTTATTATATTCTTTAACACAAAAGAAGTAAATAAATTAATACTTTAAGTTCAATTATTATTCAAAAGTTGTACTGATGCAGCTTGTGTAAAGCACATTTTAGGTTCAGTTTCGAATAAGGCAGTGACTTTGAATGTTGATCCGAAGTTGATACGTAATATTGGAATTATTGCGCATATAGATGCAGGCAAGACGACGGTTACGGAACGCTTGTTATATCTTGCTGGTGCAACAAAGTTTTTGGGAAATGTTGATTCCGGTCTGTTGTTTTCCTAAATTTATTTCAAGCTGCTTCGTACATAAATATAGTTGAGTAGCTGAACATAGCTGAAATAAAACTAAAATTAAGAAAAAATAATTTCAGGTAATACTGTAACGGATTTTATGGAGTTAGAACGTGAACGAGGTATTACAATCCAGTCTGCAGCAGTAACATTATTTTGGAAAAAACATAGAATCAATTTAATTGATACTCCTGGTCATGTCGACTTCACTCTAGAAGTATGAGCACACTGGATGAAATTTAATTCACAATGCAATGTGCTGTCTTTATATCAATATAAAATGCTACTCAAAATTATAAATGAAATATCTTTTAACTTACATAGAACAGTTTAGAAAATATTAAGCCATAAAAAATTTGTGAAACAACGCTTCAATTCAAATTTAAGCTACTTTTTTAGTCCATTGTTGAGCTTCTTGTTTACTGCAGGTTGAAAGATGTCTTCGGGTGTTAGATGGTGCTGTAACTGTCTTAGATGCATCAGCCGGAGTGCAGGCACAAACTATAACTGTATGGCGACAAGCAAAGAAATTTTCTGTTCCATCAATTTTTTTCTTGAATAAAATGGATAAACAAACTGCGGATTTTTGCAGATCTGTTGATTCGATAACAGAGAGATTAGGACTAAAAAATTCTATCAATGTATTTTTTTTCATTGCTTGAATTCATATTGTCTGTAATTTTAAAGAAACGGAATACATAGTTTTGTTTCATTCGTTTAATTTTCTTTGAAATGCTCTACATTTTTTTTTATACAGCTGTGTTTTTTTAAGGTTTGTATTCCCATTGCACGTAAAGATAAGCATTTTGTGGCAGTTGCGGATGTAGTTAACAAGAGTTGCTTGAACTTTGACATGGGTGACGAAGCGCGATGGACCGATTTGAAAGAGGACTGTTTCCAGTGAGTTGCTTCTGTGGGTGAAATTTGTTGCACGTCTTACTTATGCATATTTCTTTAAGCAGTAGCTGATATTTTAGGAAACATGATTTTGAGATTCCAAAAAACAACTACTATGATGGAATTTCCATGTTTAGATTTGAACAAATGATGGCTGGTCGCGAAGAAATGTTTTCAAAGTTGGCGGATTTGGATGATCATTTTGCTGATATATTTTTGCAAAGCAGTAGTGAAGATGATGCTTTAAATGCAGAAGCTCTTAATGCTATGAGACGACTTACACTTACTCAGCGAGTTGTTCCCGTGGTTTGTGGATCAGCATTAAGGTAGATTGTATCTTGATCTCATCGTTCAAAGTAAATAAAAGTGTTCCAGCAATATTTTGCAGATGTGCGCAAAGTGTAAGTCCAATCCTTGATTTGGTCATCAGTTGTTTGCCTTGTCCAACAGAGAAAAATGGTCTTGTTAATAAAGTTTTTGGGAACGATCTAAGTGCCCTGGTATTTAAGGTCAGTTTATATTGGTCCACTTCATCACCGTCATCTTCTTAAGGCTATATGCTATGTAAGAAAGTCCAAAGACTTGCTATATCTTTTTGTTTTTCAAAGTGATCTATATTCATCATTTGAATTATATTTCATTCAAATTGTCGAATTTTAATTGATTAAGTTTTCGTTTTCTACTGTTTCCGTATATAGTTTCTCGCCCAACCAACTCTAATACGTAGTAGAAATAGAGGGCTCTTTAGAGTTTCACTGATCGATATTCTATAGCACATAGCTTTGATCGATTCATGGATAAGCTACACCACATCGTGAAACTCTCAGATCAAATTTTATGCTTAATCCAAAAAATTACAAAAATTTTGAAACAAGTGGGAAAGAGGAATAAAAGACATTTGTTTTAAATAGAAAAAGATAATTGGCATGCTACTGCATCATTCTCTGCTCATATTAAATATTGCAGATTGGACATGACAAAAGTCTTGGACAGCTAACTTATGTACGTGTATATACCGGTGAAATCAAGAATATGGATTCGTTGTATAATGTTAACAAGAGCACTATAGAAAATAAATTTAGTGTTCATATTCCACATAGTGATCAACTCCAGTTGACTTCATCTGTTAAGGTTTCTTATCAAATAATTTTCAGATTCCTCCATATTATTTGCTGACTTCCTGACTCTGGAAATATCTTTCAATTGAATTATTCAAATTCATGTTTTGCTTCCCGAATTTATTTACTCTTTCGTGTTCTTAATTAGAAAATTTTTTACCTTCTTCCTTTAGGTTAGTGGATTTTTGGAATATTAAATAAAGAATAAAACTTCTTGTCTACGATTTTTTACAAAAAAAATTTCTATTGCAGGCAGGAAATATCGCAGTTTTAACAGGTATGAAGTCTACAACTACAGGTGATACGCTTGTCGCAAGCAAAAGAACAGCTGAAATAGCAAATGAAAGGCATCAGAAGCTGACTACTGAAGATTTTAATGAAGTTTATAATTTGTTCTTCCAAACTGTAAAAATCATTCATTTGATTCTTTAATGAAAGTAGACAAAATTAATGAAAGGTTCTTTATTATTTTCATCAGGTTTCAAAGATTTTGAAGTACTTGATAGGCATAATAGAGATTTTAATCAAATTTTACTTGGTTCTCGAAGAACAGAAGAAAACTCAGCAATTTTAAAGTCTACAGGTCATCTTGGGCATTCAGTTGGTTCTGTAAAATCTATTTTGCTATCAGGTATTGACGCTCCTGATCCAGTTTATTTTTGCACTATTGAAGCACCGTCTGAAACATCTAATGTTAAGTTTGAAAAGGTAAGAAGTTTAAATGGTTATTTATTCATTACTGTAAATTCGTTGCCTATTAAATGGAATTATAAAATTTCAGAAAATATTTTGTTTGTTATTTGGAAATTTCTGCTAAAAATAATGTTTAGAAGTTATTAAAATTTCTAAATCATTGTTTTATTTTTGAATATGAAAAACTTAAATTCACGGCGTACATTCCATTAATGCTACGAAATTTGACATGAAAAATATAATTCAATCAATATTTATGGATTGAATAGGCGTTACAAGAGCTAGCAATAGAAGATCCGTCTCTGCAAATACGTTATGACAACGAATTAGGTCAAACTGTTATTGGTGCAATGGGAGAGCTGCATATCGAAGTTATCAGAGATAGACTTCGACGTGATTATGGCTTGAATGTTTTTGTGGGGTCGTTGCAGGTTTTTAAACCCTTCCTTTTTCAATTATGAAAAGATGAAAAATAAATTTTGGAATTATGTGAAGTTCAAAATTCGAAAAGGTTAGACTTTTAATGTTGTTGATTTACCCAATGAAATTTTGTTTCAGGTTGCATATCGCGAAGTGATTGAAAATGAGGTTACAAATACCACAATTTTGAACTCTGCATTCGGCGACAGTGAAATGAAACACGAGTGTAGGATTACTTTTACCCTTAAGCCGAGTAAAGATAGCGGAAAATTTAAGCAGGTTTACACTATAATTTTGCATGATAAAAGGAGGTGTAAAACAAAACATATTAGTTGGTAAATATGCTAAACTTAGTAACTTTTGCATGGCATTTGCAATTTCTTCTCAATCATAATTAAGGGAAACATAACTTTCGATATGATAAACTATTCATGTTGCTTTGTATAAGATCGTTTTTTGTTCAATTAATCATTTGCGCATTGCCAATTCGGAACGCTCAGCAAAATTTAGGATACATCATTGATAAGTGTTGAAAAACATTTACATAATTTCATTTTTTTGATTATCAATGTTAATATATACGATAGCAGTTTAGGTTGTGGTACTTTTGGATAATAATAATGAATATGCGGGTGTTGGCATACATGAAAATTGGTTGAATGCAATTAATGAAGGCTGTAATAATGCTCTCTGCACAGGACCACTGGCTGGTTTCACAGTTTATGATATTGACGTTATACTAATTGATTTTGTGGCAAGCGGGAAACGGTTGAATCCTGCAGTAATATCGGCTGCTGCCAGCAAGTGTGTAGCTGAGGCTTTACAAAAGGCAGGTACACACTTGTTGGAACCTATAATGAATGCTGAGGTAATGTCTGATTTTTTTAATCTGTTCTTTAGAATTTCTGAAAATCTTGGAGCAATTAAATCAGATAAACTTGATAAATGTGCTGCACATTTAAATACAAAAATTAAATTGCATATAATAAACAATTTCAAAATTTATTTGTAGCAACCGTTTTAGGTATTCACAACAAGTAAAAGGCATGCAGATATGACACTGAAAGAAGTTTATAAGCGAAAAGGCATTGTGTCAGAATCTGGGATAGAATGTATTGGTGATACGTATGTTGTTCGATGCATTATGCCACTTGCTGAATTACAAGGATTCTCTAAAAATATTCGTATTATAACTTCGGGACATGCAGACATTCATCTGGAAGTGGGTGGGTACCAAGATATAAGTGAGGAAAAACAAAAAGAAATTGCAAATTTCACCAGGAACGGGAGTCGTTGATTTGTTCCTGGATTTATTGGATTTGAAAATTAGCGACATATGGTTTGAAGATTTTGAATTGCTGTTTTCTAAATTGTTGATTATGTTTTCTTTATTTTGTTGCTTATTTTCCTATAAACTTTTTATATGCCATATTCGTGTTATCTGGTTGAAGCGCTGTTAGAATTCATTCAGTGAAAAGAATAGCACAAAGCGATGAATATTCATAATAAAGAGATATCCCATTCCATCTTGTGTTGTGACGAATTCTCTGAGCGTTAATTGTGTCCTTTAACTGATGTGCATAGAAATCAATTAAATTCAAGTTTCATGTTTATTTACAAAACTATATTTATTATAACATTCATATGTGAGTGCCCGAGTACGTGATTTTTAGCATCATTCTGTCAGATGGTTATACATTCTCGTTAGTGTGTAATTTCCGTTTCACCCTTTCAACTTCTATTCTATTTTCATGTATATTTCGTATAATTGTTTTTGAAGTCGATAGAAAAACAAAAAACTATAAACTTTTAGGATTTTTTATATCAAATAGCTAAGAATAGTGGTAGTTAAATATTTGAAAGCCTGAGGTCAGGTATTGTACCAAACACTATACTTCAATTTTAGACTAATTCAATTACGGGCTAGAATATATAACGCTTTAAAACTACCAAATGATTCTTGTGACTCTCTTCAACGGTCCAATAAAATGAGCTGAATGCAAGTATCTTTTTATACTTAAATTTTAGAAATATTGTTATAGAAATGTTTACTTTTCTGTATATTTCTATCAGCCAACTGTAATTTCCACATTATGATCATATTATCAATGGAAGTGTCATGTGACTTTTTTTTAACAGAAAGAAAAAGTTACATGAGAGGAGGACACTCTGTTGACACTGTTTTGCCTTCAGAAACAAGAGTAGAACACACATCTGTGATTGAATTCTATTGTGAGCACTAAAATATTATGCTAAATATTCAAATTATAATATCCACTAAATTATATTTTATATTTCCTAATAGTAATCGAAGAATAAATAAATGTTCAACTTTTCAAGTTTTATATTTTAAGGACTGTTTTTTCTGTTGCGAAGATTAAGTCATCAACTGTTACTAACTGTTAAGAAATTTGAGCGCCACTGATTCTTTGATTCCCAGAATTGTTCATCTAATAATAATCTGCAACATATCATATGAATCGTCAGTAAGTATAAAAAAATCTTCTAGACTAGTATTCCGAGAATGCAAAATGTAATTTAGGATTACTATTATTTAAACCGATTTTGATTTAATTTAATCAATTAATACTAATCTTGATTTGAAATTTAATTTTTAGAAATTACTATAGAAATGTTTTTCAATAAATTTCTATCAGTTAATTGTAATTTCCACATTATTATCTTCTGGGAATGTTGCTAAATGATTGTTGATTTAAACGATTTTGCAAAATTTTCTGAAATAATACTTTCTCTCTTTTTTATGAATAACTAGATACATGATATATTGTAAACAATTAAAAAGAAATATGAAAAATGACTAGCCAAACTTCAGTATATATTATAGTTTTGTATCGGATATCATTCATCTATCAAAATTTATTGGAAATTCTGCCTCCTATTTTTACTTATTTTAAAATTTAATTAAAATATTAAAATTGAAGTGAAAAGGGAAAATAGTTTCAAAGAACTATTTCACATTTGATGAAAACATTTTTATATGAATAGTTAGTTAAACAGTTAATATTACTTTCATTCAAAGTGGATTTATTATTTGATATAATGAATGAGTAAAAAGATTGAAAAGAAATTTTCGAATTTTTTCGACACGTTGATATTGATCTCTATTTTTCAATCAATATTGATGAAGCATATTTGTCTGCTCAAATTTCACTAATTTCTTACAAGTTGTTTTTCCTGAATGAAAAAAATACAATCATTTTGTTATTTATGAACGATCAAAAATAGTAATTAACTAAAATTTATATATGTTATGATAAATTTTCATTTCATATTTATTTTGTTCTAAAAGTATAATTGTTAATGTAAATTGTTTGTAACATTACATTTAATAATAATATTTTAAGTATAGAAATCAAATTATATTATCGTAATGATTGTGGTTAGTAATAAAAATTTTATACTTAAAAAACTAAATCCATTTTGAATTAATTTAAATTCATTAGTGAATCAAAACATTTCTGATTTGAAATGAAAGTAAATTTGAAATAACTTACATCTGTTACACAAAAAATGTTGGAAATTTGATATGATCAAATACAAATTATTGCAGTATTTTGGTTCAAAAATATTTCTTCTTCAACTTTTTCATAAATAATTTTTATTTAAATAAGAAAAATTTGATGTAATCAGTAATTTTTCAACAGAAAAATAAATGGATAGCAATTTTTTTCAATTTCTCACATCTTTTTTTGTGAAATTTAAATACAAAAATTTTACTTAAAATTTAAATTCATTTCAATTTATAAATATTTTGACTTTGTACTGAATTTAAATTAATTTAAAATGAATTTAATTTTAAGCATAAAATTTATATTATTAAACAGAATCTTTGTGATGATAACATAATGCATAAATAATAAATCTTCTCTCTCTCTCTCTCACAACAATCATTCTTAAATATTTGAATGAATTTGCAATTTACTTATATCAGCTGATATATTTATGATAATATTAGCAATATCATTTTTTTTTTAAATAAATTTTCTTTTTTCTTAATATTTTATTCTCTTAATAAAATTGATATAATAGATAAAATTGAAATTTTTTAATTTATTGATATGATGCGGATCATTACAAATTCGTTCGACAAAATAGAGAACGTAGAAGGGAATGGTCGATCTCGATTTCGGAGCATGCAGTCGACCGCAATTCATTTCAACCCTTTCAACTTTTCCATTCTAATCGTTACCTATTTGTTTCGAACAATTGACAATTGAATATCACGCAACTTTTTTCCCCGCATTTTAAATTGCATGTTTAAATTCTATCAACATGTATTGTGTGCGCAAATTTCCTTGAAAATATAATCTTCACATACTAATCATTTCAATGAGGAAGGATATCGGAAATTGTTCGAAGTAATTTTCGATACTATCTGTTATCGCAAATTCAACATATTTTAAAATGGGACAAAAATGATTGTTTATAAGAACTAAGGAAGGATATTATTAAAGTCAATGAAAGTTTTTGTTTATTTTACCGGTTTTAAAAATGAATTTTTTCAAAGCAAAATTGTCACACTTATTTAAATTAACTATTAATATGATTATTCATGTCACTTCAACTTACTTAATGTTTGTTTATGTGATATTTGTTAAAAAAAGCGAAATAAAAAAAAGAGCAAATAACATCCGTTAGAAACGATTTTCAAAGTGTTAAGTAATGGGTGAGTATGAAAGTTTTTCCATTCCTCCCTTTATCCCAAACTGTAAAAACTAGTTTTCTCGATGAAAAGAAATACCGTTGATTATAATGGGCAGACTCCTGGATGGCAGTGTTTGGTGTTGTGTGTGGTATGTAATAATTTCTGGTCTCATTTATTTCATCTTAGGATTAATTTTTCATTTACTTTTTCTTTTTGTTGAATATTAATTAAATAAACAAAGGTTTGGTTTAAAAACAAATTGTTGTGCATTTTTTATTGGTTCATTTTAAATTATGGGATGTGATATTATTAATAGATAATATTTGCCATTTAAAATTTCATACATTGAATTTCTTAATAAGTTCGATTATCATTAGATTAGATTATTTATTCGTAAACAAAATTTTAAACTGTTGAAATAAAGCAAAATTAATCACCAATACTTTTGCAAGGACATTCGAAATGACTGATGAGATGTAATACATTTCCTTTATGAAGACAAGAAGATAGATGTGCAATCGTGTGAATTAACTATTTGAAAATAGGAATCGAGAATTACAGCTTTGCTTCACAGTGGAAATTAATTAATTATACGAATTTTATCCCTTTTAATTTTCATTTTTAATTTGATCGAGTGTCTTTCAATATATAGCGTTATTGTCCCATTTCACATTACTGTTAAATTATATTAAAAAATTATGAAACTTATAGAATCACAATGAAGCACTGGCTGGAATTATACATTGTTATGAATATTTGCTTGGTAAGTTAATTTTTGCCGCAAATTTTTCAACATTTTAATATTTTCTCCCCATGATCACTAGATTTTGAAATTAGAGAAAAGTTGATCGTTAAAAGTATCTAAATTATTCTTTTGCTCTCTTAGATTCCTTAGAATGTCGATCGATATCGTCATTATCAATTATTATTGAAAATATTAAACTATTAAGCTCATAGTTAAAGGATATTAAGCTTATAGTTAAAATTATTAAAATAAAATTTGGAGAAGAGAGAGAAAAAGATTAGTAAACAATCTCCAGTTATTGTCTCGATGTAGGAATCAATCTCCTATCTTATAGGGTTGACCTTCAGATTTAATTTATGTCACATATCTGCACATCTTTTCTGGTAACATTAATGATCAGCGATCAGTCGTTTTATCAAACATTTATAGAACTTTATTATGATCATTATTGTCGATAATAAAAGGTTTTCGAAATATTTTTTTCAAAAATACAGTAATTTAAATTTATATATATTTTTTCAATTTTCATTATAAGAAAAATCTTTACACAATTACGAAGATATGATCGTCACGAAGAAAATTACTTATATGGATGATGAAATATAGATAACATATTTAATTTTCTTTCTGTCTAAAGCAATTTATAATTTGACAATTTTTGATGAATTTGTTCAGCATTGAACCATCAAAACGATTTCAAGGACGAAACGATTTGAAAATCATAAATTTCATTTTTGTTTTAAAAAATTTTACATTTCTTCATCATCTTTTATTTTTAGCTTTTCAACAATAAATAATCATTTGCTAAGGTTATTACCAGCAAGCATTCAGCTCATCTTACCTTGGGATTAATAATTAATTGCAATTGAGGAATAAAAGAAATTATAATTTTTAAATTTACTGATATATAAATTTTTGCAATCTTTATTAAACCAAAATGCTATCCTTTATCATTGTCAATCATTATTGTGACAGTTTTAAATTGGCTATGACATAATTTCAATTAATTCCAATTTGATTTAAACTGCATAATGCTATCATTTATTTCATTAATACGTTTTTTGGATTTTATTAGAATTTAAACATAGCTTCTAAATTTTAATGAAATATTGGCATAAATTGTTGAGTGAATTCCAAAGGTTAACAAATAGATATCTGTGATATAAAGGTGATATCTATGATCCAAAGGTTTAAAATGAATTTGAAACAGTGCATTGAACATTGATCTTTCGAAATCATTTTTCTACTTTTTACATTATTAATGATATAGCTCTCGAAATTTTTTCGACAACATTTTTGATTAATTAATTAAAGATAATTTACCATTTAATTGATAAATAAGTAGGAGAAAATTTAAAATAATTTATAAATTTGTAGGCATTTGGTTGGTGCCAAAGCTGCTCCTTATCATCTCTCTTTACCAATCATATGCAATGCATCAAAGATTCTGTTACCGAAAATTATGGCGAATTTGAGAAAGAAATCAGGAATCATAATCAGTTAGTTTTCAAAACACCATTATATTTTCCAAATTAGAAAAATAAGACTTCAAATTCTTTTATGATGCATTTCCAATCCAATTGGGTTAATTAATTAATTATTTATTTGTTTTATCTTAATCAAATATAAAAACAAATAACCGAAATTCATACTTCTCAATTTATAAACAATTTCTTTGAAATGCCGCAGCATTTTAGTCAATCCATATTTTTTTAAGTTATATAATTCTAACTTCTCCAATGATTTCAGATTCGCAAACTGAAAATTATCTTTTCATATTTCCTAAAATAGTTAGCAAAATGATTAATTGGAGAAAAAGCTGAAAAGATATATTAAATCGTTTGAAAATCATTAATTAGTTTTTCTTTTAATTTAACAGTCTTGCAATCAAATCGTGTTTTGCTCAAACAATTGAAGATGGTAACGAGAAAAATCGTTGCGTTTTAGCGCTGTCTGATTTGAACAATAAAGCTTGGGATCATAATGGTCCGTTGCGCGATTGCTTAATTTGTCAAACGGTTATTCAAATTTTCTGCAAATTTATTTCATCTCTAATTTGCCCTTATCTATTTGTCTATTCAAAAATAATTAATTGCAATGATTAATTGTGTAATTTTAAGTGTGTAACTTGATATTTTTCAATTGGATCACAAAAATTTTTCATTAAAAAGGATAAAATTCTAAAGCTTTACTTAATTAAGCAATTATAAATAATTTTTAAATTTTAATAAAATGTTTGAGTTAATTAATTGCAGTTTGCTAATGGCGCAATTAAAGCAATGTTATCGACCTCTGCCGAAGAAGAGAAATGTGTACGTTCTGAGGTTTCCAGAGCTGTAAAACTGGAAGTGGAATATTGTTTGCGGGGAAAGATGAATAATTTCGATAGCATTCCTGAATTTCCGGATTTTGAAGAAGGTTCACATGCATTTAGGGATGAAGTGTAAGTATGTACTACATTTGAATAAAATCCATCTGCTATGTTTCAATTCCCGAACTTATCAATATGAAAGCAATACATGTTGAATTATTTCAGAATCACTTCGATCTCAGAACATATTCTAATTAATAGCCGTCTAGCATTCTGTAGTGAACGTAAACCGGAACGTGCAGAAGCTACACGAAAATGTTTGACGAAACCATTTGATGGATATTTTTCTGAACACTGCAAAGGTTAAAATTTCAAATATTAGTAGAAATTTTAATATTCACAAAATTTTCAGTCAAAAATTCTGAATTATTCTTGTTCAAAAACTAATTTTGACAAATTGTAATTGAAGTGAGAGGAGGTTATTTTTTCTTAATTAGTTCTGTTCGCAGAGAAAGGTATTTATTTGATCATTAGAATTGATCAAATACATAATATCATTGATACCAAGAGATTAAAAATCATATATTTCTGTATAAATCGTGTCAAGTGATTTGAATAAATATTTTTGTCTAAATTAAAATCATATATAAATCAATTCAAATCATAAATTCAAAATCAAATAATTCAAATCACAAATTCTCAATAATAGACATTTTATTCCCAGCAAAATAATGTGTTCATTTAAAGTTTTCAGAGATTCAATAAGATATCTCAGAATTTTGGGTGAATTTTTCTTGAAAGAATAAATTTAATACAATCGGATTGTGTTGTTTTGCAGTTCTGAAGAGTTGTGAAAGTAAAATCTCAGCTGATTGTCAACCACAAATTATGGAATTAAGAAAGTCAATTTGCGAATGTCTTAATAATACTCGAGTGGGGCTGAAAAAGCGACTTTCTTCAATTGCGCAAGCTATCAGAGATGTTTGTATTACAATTATTCAAAATTGATTATTTCAGTTTTTAATTCATTAGAAATTGTTAATTACTTTAGTATGCAACAATAAGATCAGTACAACTGTTATATAGGATTAACTTCATCTTTTATGATTTTTATAATTCTGCCTCCATTAGCTAAAAAAATATAAATAAAAAGGAAAAGTAAGAACAATAAAAACATTCCAACAAATTATATAATCTAAAATACAAAAATTAATGAAATTTAAAATTAGCAACAAAAAACAACATAAAATAAGCGAGAAAATTCAAAGTTAATTTAAAAAGTTAATCAAAAAAAGGTTAATGCAATTTCGACTCTTTAGTTTTTATGAAAATTTTTGTAAAACTAATCAAATTTTACCTTTGACATACAATCTTTAACCTTTGACAACATTCAACACATGCAAGCCTTCAGCTGTATGCAATTGCTTAAAAGCACTATTTTACTATTTCAATGTGATGTGAAAATTTTCATCAAACTTTCTTCAATCACTTTTCAACACAGAATTTAATTATGATACTTAAAATTCTTACAATAATTCGAATATGAATGTATTTAAAAAGAAAAATGCTTAACTTGCAAGCTTTGCAAAACTTTTTTTTCGAATTAAGTACTGATTAGTTTTTATATTTAGTACTTTACCTGTCCTAAATTCTAGAGGTTAGAGGACTAAGAAAATCAAATAAAAAGCTTATCATCCGTTTTTATCCGCAGATTAATGTTGTTATAAATTGTTATAAATTATTAATTAATATTGCGATGATAAAATTTGAATAGATTACACTAATTTAGTAATTAATAATTAAAGAATGTTTTTTAATTATTTTTGAATGATCATTCTTTTTTCTCTTTAATATGTATTTCATTGTAACGGATATATATTATCAATTATGTATTGTAAACTATTCTTTGAGAATATACATATTCAAAATTTTGTAATCATTAACAACTTCTATAACAAATAATATTGTTTTTTGTTAGTATTATATTGTTTTACTCAACCGCAACTTAAAATTTAAGGCATGGCTTTTTACCTCTCCAATAACTTTACATGTTAAGGATTCCATTTATGAATAGTTCAATAGAGCATTTTAGGCCATTGATGGTAATGATCGTGGTGCAGCATCGATCGGCGGTGGTAGTAGAGTAGAACAATGTGCATCAAACATCAAAGGCTTAGTGTTAGTAGATTTTGGGATATTTGAATTCTTTTTTTTGGAATTTATATTTCTTATTCGCTGCTATACTTTTCTTCAACATTTCATAAAATTTTCATCACGAATAATATCTCATCAAATTCGCTTTTTGCTTTTCGCCTTTCTGAGTTTAATTGGTGACAAAGCATTCTCAAATTTGTTAGCTTAACTAACATAGCGCTCAAGTCGACCGTGACCAGCATAGCGTCGAGCTCCCATGATTAGCATAACGTCGAGTTCCTGTGATTAGATAACGCTCAAGTTAAGCGCAGCTGTATCAGATGAGACATGCCATTACGTTAAAAACAATTAACCATTAAATTTTCTGTATCTGCTTCTGGATATATATTTAGGAGGACACCAGTGAATGATTGGATTGAGGTTATCGATAAGTCACTGAAAAAATGCTTGAAGAAAAAGCCTGCAGGACAAAATCTGGGCCTCGAATCGCTCATCAATGTTGGTTGTCGAAAGGTTTGGTTTTGAAATTTTTTTTTACTTTCGAGAACTTTACTGAGCTAGGTTACAAAGGAGAGAAGATGAGAGCTTAAAGTGAATTCAAAAGATGATAATCATAGTGGTGCAAGTTATTCCTAAGTCAATTGTCGAACTGTCTATGCTACCGAATGCTTTTAAACTTCATTTTAAAGGTAATTGCTGATACTACGGGAACAGCACACACGCAGTTGAAAACAGGATTTGATTTCATTAACAATTTAATGGATGCAATGATAGAGCGATCGGGGCGTTTCTGCGGTGGCGTGCATTGTGGTTAAATAAAAATTTTCAGAATTTTGAAAATTCTATAAAAATTTTTGGAAATTTGCAAAATTTTACAAGTTAAAGTAAAACTTTGTCTCACTGATTGTTACAACAAATTTTTATCGTTTTTGGCAATTTTCAAACTTCCCAAATTGTATTACTTTGAATTTTCATTGAAATTTCATCTTTTAAATGTGATTACTGATGTGGAGTAACATGTTATCATCTTTAATTATAGTTCTGATCTTAAAACAATGGAATAAATTATATACTTAAGTGGAAATTTTATTAATTTCAGATAATTTATGACATATGGGTTAAAATAATTGATACCACACACTTCAAACCACATCGGTGACGAACTATTCCGCTTTTATACTTGATTATTTTCATTTACACTTTAAATCTCGCATGAAGATAGGATATGATGATAAGAGAAGTTAACAGAATTGCTTAACAACTATTAGTTGATTGAAGGATGATAACTTAGCACATAAATAACTTCTTCTTCGTTAAGAATGATTGAACTATCACTTCACACAAAGGAACGATGTTAAAAAGGAATTTCAGCAACAATGAGCTTAACATAACTTTTATCATAGAAATCAAGATAGAGATATATACAATAATTCATAATTCCTTAGATTAAATGAACGTATGGTATGTGATATAAGTGATCAATCGAATTGGAGGTTTGTAGCCCAGAATTAACGGGCCTGGCATAATTGTATTTAGGCTATGTCCACATATAATTTTCTCTTTATATTCATTTTATTAATATTGAGAGTAAAATAGTAATCAATATTCACCTTGAATTGCGTCTATTTTGTGTGGCTAACTCTTAGATTGTCAATGCAAAGGGTTATAGTTTTCTCCGATAATTTCTTTTAATATCTTCGATAATTTGTGATTGGACTTGGGAGCACACATTCCGTCCGGTTTTCACATTCCATTTTTCATTTCCCAATAAAATCGTCAACTTGCATTCAAACCGATGATAAATGGCATTAACGAATAAAGCGTTATCAAAACATGAGATTGAAAATAGTTTCTAAAAGTTTTGTTCTTTTAAAATTTGAGTTTAAACTTTGGAGCAAAAATGTTAGATTCTACTTTTTAATCATGTTGAAATGCTTCATGTATAAAAATTAATTGTATTAATTATACGTATGAGAGATCTCTTCCTGCAAATTCAAACTTAAAGCTGCCATCTTAATGATGTATGCTGAAATGGCCCAATAGAATATATGTCTATAAATTCGACAATGCTAAACAATGTGAATGAAACAATGGAATGGTAAGATAACATTCCTTATACAAGGACCAGGAAAGTTGCAATAGCGTAAATCCAATGACCACAAATAATACTGCTATAATCACTATCATTATGATAATTTAACGTACATGATTAATTAATAATCATGTACGTTAAATTATCTTGACTTCCTGAACTTTAATATGAAGATGCTAACTGGTTCAAGGTAATTGATTTAGATTTAATTATTATCTCAAAAATATTCTTCATGTATTTTTCATAATTGTTATTATTATTAATTAACAATATTTTTCGGCACATAACAGACATCTGTTTTTGAGATACCATTCTTTGCAGTACAAAGTACATAATACTAAGTAATGAAATGAATAACTCGACAGAAATTGCATTTAATATTTTTATATCTGAAAATTTTTAAATGCAATTAATTCAAGAATCAAGTTTTCTTCATTATAAGATAAATTCTTGATTATTTCAAATTCGGAATTTCATCTCGACAACTGCGAAATATCTATATATCTATATATATATATATTAGCATTAATAATTCTTTATTAATTCACAGTGAAACCTTCAAATTAAAACTTCTTTACTAATTCACTCAACTGATTATCGATACGAGCGCAGATAGTCAATAATACTAACGATCTAAAATATGCTAATTTATTTTCAATATGAAATCATTTTTGTGATCGATCCAAACCAATCCATTTCATTTTCTATCAACAACAATCACACTCTCCACTACAAATGGCAACGCCGTTAATTTACATTATTGTTAATTTTATAATTTTGAAATGCAACAAATGTATTTAGAACGTCAGCTTCCCAATGATGAATATTTCTACTGAATTTTTTCCGATCTCTTATGAATTTTCCGCACAATTTATTTCCTTCGTTTCGCTTTATCTATTCGTATAATTGAAGTTCATACGTAACAATTTTTCGTAAAGATGTTTACTTTGCTAAATAAAAGTTTTGTATTCTTATCATTCAAATACGTAAGGAGGAAACTTAATTAAGAGGTACAGTAGAAAACTATAAGTTAGTATAAGTTTCTTTAATGAAGCGCTATTTGCAATAGTTTTGTATAGTATATATTACCGTAATATCATTCCTAAAATATATTTCACTTCTTTGCTGGATATTTTCCAGGTTTTGGGAACGCAATTTACAAGAAAACACTTCTGGAACTGTATCACGAAATCCTGATTATCAAGAAGTTCGCAGGAATCACTGATAGCATGGTAATGTTGAATTTAAAGGAACTGTAAGATGTATTTCGAAAACTAGTTACGAAATGACAGGTATGAAATAACACGTCTACTGGACTCCTTGGTGATAATCGATGCATGAAATTAAATGACTTTCTAATTTTAGTATATTTGAAATATCTTCGAAGTGTGGAAACGGGTATTTTAATTATTTTCATGAAAATTTTAAAGACATCCTGGAAACTTAATCTGATGAAAAAAGCGCGGATATTTTAGAAAGATAAGCGTAAAACGATAAAATTCAGTATTCAATGCAAGCGACATGGTATCAAAGACCAAAACCAATCAATAAACCAAAACGCCCAATCAATAATGGAAAACTTTGCACGATTGAAGATCATTTTTACGTCGATAATCTCAAAAAAACTAAAAATGTCTAGAAAAAATCTACCTCAAATTGTAAGCATGCAATTGCGAGCATTCAGGTTCACTTCTTTGAAATTTGATAAATTGATTTTTTTAAATTAAACCATGCTTCGCAATAATTTGATAGTAGAAATTCTGAAAGACGAAAAAATATGATGTCAAATTTAATACTGTCTAAAAATTCTATTTTATTTCCGTGAAATTTGCTGCAATCTGATCAGTAATAAAGAATAAAATAGATGCAACCACTTCATTCATCTCCCAAATGAATTAAAGGTATGATTTTGTTTTAGCATCGATCAAAATCATGCCTAAAAAGATACAAAAATCAAGAAATAATAAAAATGGTCCAAACTTCTCCCTGAAAGAAAAACCGTTTCGGGAAAACATTCACAAATAACCTTCTATATTTTCAGTTGAAACTTAAAATAGTTTCTGATATAACTTTAAGAATGATGAAATACCCTTACGAAGCAGTATTGCAAAAGTTAAACATTCTGATGAATATGTTAGAAAGTAAAGGAAGATTGTGAAGGATATTAATTATAGGACTAACTATACAACTTATACAGACCTTCGATAAACAAAAAAGAAAGTTTGGCGTCATTTTTAAGTGCGCTTGGCAAGCCTTAATTCACTCAAAACATTTTCTTAAGAATTTCCTTAAACTGTAGGAAAATTGAAAGTGATGCCACTATTACCAAATTCTTGAAAAGTACTTCAAAAAAATTAAAACTCACAACCTATTAATTTAACTGAACCTAACTTGTCATCGAAAAACAATCAGAACATATTTCAAATGACCGGACAAAAGCTAAAAAGCAAAAAAATTCTATTCAACAAATAGACCTACATAACACGGTGAGCATTAATAATAAAGTTATTCAAAAAGTCGTCAATGCAGCATGTGTGCCACCCATAATGTTTACTTTTCTTCCTTTATACAACTTTGAGATTTCTTCTTCAATCTGAAAAGAAGAAAAAAACAGTGAATAGACATCAACATTGTTCAAATGAAAATTTTTTTTCGCTTTCGGTTACTGAACAGCTACAAAATACAATAATCTTGAAAAGTTATAGTTGCTGAAAGTACTTAACTAATAAACTAAGGGGACCAGAACTTACTTGCTTCTGCAATATTTTGCTAGTCTCACAAACTCCATCGAATGTTTCATGCGCTTTTTGCATGCTAATTCGCATTTCGCTCTGTTTCTCTATCATCAAGTCCCTCATTTTTTGATAACGTCCTTCTAAAGAACGCTTCTGATCCAAGGTTTCCACCAGTTTTTCAACATATCTCAAATCAATGCAATTCATCCCCAATCCTTTAAGTTTTGGAATTTGGAACTCAAAATTCACAATCTTCCACATACATGAGTACTCAGAAAAAGCAAAAAAAATGAAAGCTAAACTAGTGGATCAGGCTTATATGCGGAAAATTTCAGAAAATACTGTGAAATTTTTTTCAATCCTTCACAATAAAACACTTCAAAATTTACTGAGGTGAAGAACGTATTCGAAACAAATGAGCTTTTTGAGAATCAGTTAATCTATTGATAATTTCGCTCACATGCATCAACCATTTATCAATTGTTTCCACGGTAATCTGCAAATTCATGAGCCTTTACAACTACTTGTTACTAAAATTTGGAACCTTCTTCTTGAAAAGAATGTTTCCCTTGAAAAAATTTCAGAAAAAAACGAAGCAAAAAAAAATTACCTTTCTTAGTGCCGCAGGCCGTTCCTCCATCCCCAATATATAAATATCAGACATACTTTCTGCGGTTTCATCCTCTCTTCGCATTAGCAAAAATTTTTCCAACTGTAAAAATAATTTAAGATTCAACTGAAAAAGAAAGATGAAAAAACCGATCAAAACAAACTATCTCTTATTCGCTGTCAGCAAAAATAGCCAAGAGTTATAGAATTACAGCACCTCTTTCAATTCAAAGTAAATAAGATTTCGAGTTTGTGGATTTTCGAGTATTGTCAGTGCATCCAAGCCTCGAGCTATTCCATCGTTAACATCACCTATAAAGAAAAGACTTTGAATAGACATAAAACTAAACAAAGATGACAGACAAATTTCTCTCCATTTTTAGTTGAAAAAATATCAATAAAGCTATTTCAACTTAACTTACCTTTTTCGTCCCCAACGACTTCAATTTGAAATCCACTATCAGTAAAATCAATTTCATTACCAGGAACAATGAGATCATCGCCGAAATCTATTTCTTCGGCGCTATTTGCCTAAGAATATGCATAATCAAACAATGAAATTGATACACAAAAAACCTTTGCCATGCATAAAAACAAAAAAGCTTTACATGACAGAGCAAACTAATAAAAACTGAAACCATTTTCATTTATAAGTATAATGAAAAATATAAATAATTGACACAAATTTCTTCATTAAATTAAAACTAGAAACAAACTGAACCACAAAAGTGTAAATCTAAACTAAAAATAAATTACTACCTCCTCATTTACACAGGCATTCAAAGAAGGCAATTCAATGCGTGCTGGTTTTGTACCATTTTTCCATTCGTAAACTGTTATTTCTGCGCCTTTTTCCATTAAAAAACGGCATAATGGTAACAAAACAACATTAGGTGTCTCGTTCCTGAACAAAAATGAAAAATAAGTAGTTCTATTAATTCTATTAATTTAATTCTATTAATATTTCTAATAATAATTCCAATAATTCTATTCTATTAATTCTATTAATGCAATTCTATTAATTTCCTTTGAACGCTAATTTTTGTTCTAACCAAAATTAGAAAAAGAAAACCAAAATTACTAGATTTTTTTGAGGTTTTATATGACTCATTTTCAAGGAATTTTTCCCACTTATTATTAAAACAATTGCAAAAATGACTTACTGATGTAAATATGCCTGAAACTGTTCGTAATACTGAAGCGGTTCATTCAAAGACGATATAGATCTCATTATTTCGTCCAAAAAAGATGGCAAATCATCCAATAATGACAGTATTTCTCGTCTTAAGTGGACACCTGAGAACACCAGCAATTTTGTAGAGAAATTTAGAAATAAATAAAAATAATAACAGAATGCGCGAATGGTGACAGAAAGCGATAAATTAAAATTGTTACCGAAAAGAATGATTTACTGAAAATTCTAGTACTAGAAACAACCAATTTCATACCATCAATTCCCATCTTCAATAGTTCTTTCTCATATTGCTTCTTGCTTTCTACCATTTGCTTCGCATAATCTTTTTCCTTCTTCGCACAGCCCTAAAAACTTAAAATGTATTTAGTATAGTCATAAACTATTAACTTGGAATACTAAAACAAGTTAAAACATACGGTGATTGTTTGATCGCATTTCGAAATCTGCTTTTTTAGAGCTGGAATCTCATACTGAACCATTCTTTGAAGGATTTGAGCTGCTTCTGCTAAATGAATATTCCCTTTCTCATACATCTGTTTAATTTGCTGAAAGGTTAATTTTAGTACATTTATTTCCATAATTATATTAAAATCTAACAGATTCCTTTTCGAATCTCACTTTACACCTCAAATACTTCACACCGCTTTGCTCCACTTCTTACAAGGCTTAACGAAAGGAAAAGATTACAACTTTCTTAAGATAATGTTATTCGCACCATCCAATCGTTCATTCTCTGCGATGAATAATATCCCAAGAAATTCTTTGTTCCCTTCTCCGTATTTTTCAGAATGTTGACGATTTGAACACAATGAAAATAATTTATATCTGCAAAATTTCTTACAAAAAAGTTATCAAGTGCGGAAAATTTCCAAAACCATATTGAAGCACATTGAACATCCAGCATACTTAAAAATAAATACATCCTTCGAATGCTTACAGGAACCCTGAAGTAATTTCACGATGCACTCATCTTCTGGCATATCCCGGATCGCTGCGCTAATCTTTTCACGAATAACCATTACGTTTTTTTGCCAATCCTTATTACAATGTCGTCTACTGAGCAACCAATCTGAAACAGTACCCAGCAAAAATTCAATATGGTACCGAAAATGAATAAAATATCGAAATTCTTATTCGAGTACTTCCGATATGAAATAGACAACTAACCCAGAAGCTTATTAATGTGTATATCAATCGGTATATCCTTTTCATCCATCATACTTTTCACTCAGAGGAAATTTAAATTCCCCTAATGATGAACAGTTTCTTTCTGATCACCCTATAAAATTATAAAAAATAAAAATCAAATTAAATCAAGTATATCATTTTCAGCGGAAATGGTTTTTCGTCGGATAATAAAGCACAAAATAAAAAATTCCTTATTAAAATACACTTCCACTGCTGAATTTCGCTGATTACAACAACCACAACCTCAAACAGCAACTAACTTCCATCAGATACTCACAAACACCGCCAACGTCACAAAAGAAAACACAAAAAATGAAATCAACTGAATTAAACGCGGCCATTGTATACAGTCGCCGTCATAAGCCGCGTGGATTTATTTGGCTAGAAAAAAAATCGAAATTTCGAAGAGGGAAGGTTGATATAATTCTTCAATCATTTTTTTTAATTGCTTAATTTTCTTTTCATTTTGTTTAATTAAAAGCCAGATAACAATAATTAGATATGATCGCTGCAAATAACACATTCATGCTGACAAAGATACTTTTTGGTGCAATAATTCACAACTACATTCCTTTTTCTGCATATCTAAGAAATAAACAAACATAAATGTATTATATGTTTGTATGCATAAAAATGTAAATATAGGTGTAAGTTTAAATATAAATATAAATACAAATATGTGAATATAAATATAATGTATAATTTACGGTGTGAATGAAGATTTCTTCTTGTGGGTTAAATTGAATTTAGAAATCCATGATTTATATTTATAAAGAGAAATATGAATTAGTTCAAATGTAAACACATATGTCATAGTTTAAAAATTGCTTTGTTGCATTTAGAGCAATTTCAAAAGAAGAAATTTTAAATAATTTGAATAAGTTTCAGTTATTATTCATTTACAGTAAAAAAAAAAGAAATTGACTGGAAGGAATTTGTTTGAGTAAAGAATACGAAACTTGATGGTAGCCTATCTTCATCAACTTTTTCATTTACAGAATAAAAAAAGAAAAAAGTAGATTGCAGAAGGAAAATGTATGGAATGAATTGTGGATGTAATGCTATTCCTTCTGCATATATTTTCCTTCTGCAGTCCTCTTTTTTTCATCTTCTATTCTTTAAAGGAAAACTTGATGAATCTGTCAATAGGTTCCGTACTCTTCATTCCAACAAATTTTTTTCAGTCGAGTTCTTCTTCCAATATCTTTGAAGTTTAATGAATTACCATTTTTTCTTACTTCTACTTTTCCGAAATTAAAGAGCCATCTTATCTAACAATTTTGCTTTTCTCCAAACTTCATTCATCCCGAACTTTCTTGTACTGAATACGATTACTGCTTTAACCTAAACATTTATATTACAACTTCTCTAATTTCAGTGAAATTTCAAATCACAACCATATCATGTCTTCTTAGGCATTATATTGATTTTTGATAGCATTATTTGCTTTATAATCATTTTAAGAATAAATTTTGGACAGGAAATCTAAATTTCTTTCAGATTATTAGAAATAAACAGGTGAAATTGATCAAACATCCCATAAAGAATGAGTATTACCGTATAGTAGGAAATCAGTAATAATAAACGGGTGAGTCTCCTGCCAAAGCTCGTTGCCATTATAATATGGAAGTGTTGCTGAAGCAGTGCTAATTAAATCAATGTTTACATAGCTCAATGGCGGAAACTAACATGCTTTCGCTTCACGTCGTAGGCCTACTCGTATCTTCTCCCCGCTTCGTACTTTAGGGATCTTAATTTTAAAGCTCAAAACAATTCTAACGTTTAATTTGAAATGTCTTATCCAGCTGTTCTGATAAACCGGAATGTCTTCCAGTAAATTTATTGGCATGATAAATTTACAACGACCTGAAAGTGAAGTAGATTAATCAAGAATTCATATTTTAAAGAATGCAAATTGTTCAGTAATCTTTCATATAGGAAGAAATGCACTTTTACCGTAATACATTGAAGTGTTTGTTGCAAATGACAAGTTTTAGTCGTTCAAAATTTGAAGGAATCGTTTAAAAAGCTGTTGCTTGTTTTCCTTACAGCACTTTCTCATACTGCACCAAAAAGCACATCATTCTTGGTTTTTCACATATGCCGTTATCATTTAATATCTTTTCCTTCATAAGAGGAACAGAGAAAAAATCTTAAATCAAAGGGAAGGAAAAATAACGTGAGGATGAATGATTAGAAGGGTGGACCTTGAAAGAAGTGCAAATGATCCAAGAACCTTCTCAATATACGGTTGGCATTGATTTTTCCTCTATTTATTCATAAAATAAGATAAATGATTTGGGTTTTATATAAAATCATATCAGCTAATGAAATAAATAACGCAAAAATAAATGAAACTATTTAAGTAATCAGTTTGGAGTTATTCGGCGCTACTAATTTCATTAAGGCATTTCAACTCTCATAAGTAAAAATTTCAATTTTTATTATTTTACTTGAATGTCCCAACTTTTTTCCGGTAGTTTTTTCCATAATTTATAAAACTTCTATTACATATGAAGTTTTGCTATTTTTCTATGGCATTTCATTCAAATCGTTGCCAATTTGAGCTTTCTGAAACTTAATTCTTTGGAAAAGACTTCTATGTAAATATTATAATGTCATTCGTAATTCAGCAATTGTACTACTTCATTTAAAATCCATTGTTCGTTTACACTTATTCCCAAACTTCTTTCCGATAAATCCCAAAACACTCACTTTAATCAGCTTTCATAACAGATCTTTCTTTTCCCTTTCCGCAAGTTGAGACCTAATACGCCTGCAATATTTTATGCAATTCTGATTGATTTATGTCATGACTATCAAGCCGTACTTCCTTTCCATGAATTCAACGGACTTAAAATTAATTCAACATTCAAATTTTTTAAACAACCAGTCCATATTGAAATTCACTGAATTGAGGGATCATTTCATATCAATTGCAGCAATAATTGTTTTGAAATGCAATGCTAGGAAGAAAGAGAAGAAAAAGAGAATACAACTTCAGTTAAAGGCGTAAAGTATATCAAGCTAGCTATTTATCATTATTCTAAAACATTGTTTCAATAGGAACAGAATTCAGAGAATAAAGTTCTGCCTGAAATTAGGCGATCAGATAAAATCATTAAACCTAATTAAGCCTGCACAAATTGCACACATGAAATTCTATATTAACATGCGGCATATTTGCATCTCTGCACATCGCAAGGTTAAAATAACCATTACTTAGCTATTCGCTAATTTTTTGAATTCTACCAGAGATGATAACCTATATACCGTAAAAATATCTTGCAAATTATCTGCGAATACTGATGAGGAATTCAGAGGTTCATATATAAATTTAGAATTTATTTAAAAAATATTAAATCCATATTAAAACACAAACTTAATTTTGTCGGATTTTGAAAAGGAATATCTGGATGCATTTCCGCATCTTGTTCTGATATCCCAGAACCGTAATGCAAAGAACACTGCACATATCCTCCTTCCAAAATTTCCTGGAAATTTTCAATGCAACTAGCCCTTGCCTTTAAATCCCGAAGCAAAGCTTTTTTTGCGGGAAAACGCGGCCCGGCAATATAGACATAAGGCTGAAGCTTTTGTTTGGTTACAAGTTGAGGTGTAGCGTTCCCTCCAGTTCGAATTTGAGAGTTCGTAAGGGCCAAAATTAGTCCCAATACGTTACAGCGAAAGGATTTTAAAAAGGGAAAGAATAAGGTGAGATTAAAGGTAGACTTATGTACAAAAGGTGTATTAAAAAGTTGCATCAATTGCAGTTCTTGTTTAAAATAGCGATCTGAAATGACTTGTTATAGTACAGTACAACAAATGAAGTCACCGTACATTGCTGTTACAGTGATACTTTACTATGATCATCATTATAAATTCATCAAGTGAAGAATTACTGTTATAAAATTATTGGTGTTATCACAATCATAGTATTCAATGATTTATAAAGTGGTAATTGCCTCTTAAGACCGTTATAATAACGGCATAAGTTCTTATATACTATTAGGTTATTATTATAAGGAGGATCATTACTCAATGCAGAGATGATTCTCAGTTTTGTTGCTTCTATTGTTTATTTTCTTTTAATCTTTTTTTCTCATTTTACCGTTCCTTTGCTCTATTTGTTTTGAAATAGACTTGCTATAATTTTTTTTCTCTTTTAAAGATTTTCTTTGATTAGAAACAACCTCGATAGATCCGTTCGGTGCAATCCTCATCAACGCTTTCTTTTTGTTTTCTTCTTTGTTCATTTATTAAGTTTTTGTGTTGATGACAGGATTAAGGTGAGTAGGAGGGAGTTGAGAAGTTCGTAAGAAAGAACGACGAAAAAATTAGAGGGACAAGCTGTAGTGAAAAAGGAAATGGAGTGAACCGTGATAAAATTACTAGTAATGAGTTTTATTCATTGCCATAATCATATCATCCTCAGATGACACTTTTTTTGTTTGTACGAAGCTATCCTTTTCCAGTTGTTGTCTTCTTTTAATCCACCCAAACATTGTTTTATAGGTTTAGCATTTAATGTCCGCATGATTGATTCGGAAAGGAGTAAGGAGTTACTCGTTGCTCAATAGTTGCTCATTATCTTTTACAGCTGGGACGACTTGTTCAATAGACTATATTTTTCATATTATACTTCATTATTCGGTCATTGTAATTAATAGCAAGTTTTTTTTTGATGGGCATCGACTGACAATTAAGAATGGATTAAGAGTTTATCGTCTAATTTGAAATGTTTTACGTGTGTCAGAAAATGTCCTGATTAAATTTAGTAGGCAGACCTTGTTTCTTTTTAGCATGGCTGAGAAAAGTGAAGATCATTATAACTTCAAAAGGACAATTCTTATTACGGGTTCAACGGATGGCATTGGCAGACAAACGGCTCTAGAATTGGCTGTGCGAAATGTAAGTTTTATTTGCCCTTTATTTGCTCCTAATTCTGAAATACTCTGAAATATTCACTCAAATGCAGTTCGTAGGGCAGAAAAATGCGTGTGCAATTACATGATGAAAAAATTGTTTTTTACTAATTAGATTTTTTTTGGATTCTTAGAAAAAGGTGGTTGCAATTATCCGTGGTATTCAAACTCCGACTTCTCTAAAATAGGAAAAAAAGGGCTGAATTCATAACTATGTACATGAATAATTCGCTGACCATATATCTCCCTTTAATTCTAATCATGAAATAAGACATACTTGACCTTTTTAGAAGGAGAATTTTGTTATTGTGCATGGCAGGAATATTGAAAAATGTAAAGCAACTCTTGACTATATCATGCGTGAAGGCAAATTACCGGATAAGTCGAATCTTGATTTTGTTGTTGCCGATTTTGCAGATTTGAAAGAGGTGAATTTTGGAATTCATTAATCTTATTTTTCTTTTAAACTTATTTAGCTTGTGTCGACTTTGAAGATTTTATTCTTTAATTTTTCCATTTTGCCCTCTAAAATAATTGTTCCATTTTATTGACAATCATTACAAGCTATTACTCCATGATCTCATCTTTACTGCTTATTGCAGGTTTCTGATTTGGCTACGGATGTTGAAAAGCGCTTTCCGCGTTTGAATGTTTTGTTATGTAACGCCGGAGTTCTTTTACCTAAAAGAATAGAAAGTCGAAATGGGTTAGAATTAACTTTTCAAGTAAGCATTTTACTGATGTGCTTCAAAATGCTCTGACATTTTTAAAAAATACGCATTTTTGAGTTTCAGAATGTCTCGTTTTGTTTATTAGATTAGTTGTATTTCTAATTTGTGACTCGTATTTCATCAAAATAGGTCTCGTGCATAATAGAAACTCTAGACAGATATGATGAAAGAACATGCAGTAAATTAAAGTTTAAACTTTCAAAAACATTATTTGATAGTGTGTTCTGTAGCAAGTTCTTGCAACACAATTCCGTTTTATAGTTTCAAAAAGTTTCTTCTAGTATTGAAACATTTTAAAAAGATCTTAATGTCTGAAGTTTTTTGAAGAAAAGGCATATTAACAAATTTTGTGACCAAATGAAGAATTGTTCGTACATAATGGCTTTATAAACGTTTGGTACATTAGAATGTTGCATGTATTCTTCATCTTTACTTCATCGATTTCGAAAGACAGTTTTTTCATTATTCACCTTGTTAATTGTGTTTTAATTTTGAATTTCTAGTACCTTGTGAATTGCTTTTTTTAATTCGTGTGAAGAACCAAACAGTGGGCATATAATTTCATGTCTTGTGCAGATCGTGTTATATTTATCAGTTGTTATTGTGATTAAACACAGGTTTCTTGTAATAAAAATGGTGATGTGTTTGGTGTATTTTTTTTTATTTCTCTTAGTTATGAATTGTTGTACCTACTCGCTTTGCCATTATACTTTGTTGTCTTTTTAATCTTGTTCTTGTCTTTCCAACTGAAGGCTTTCAGATTAATCATTTGGCACATTACCTTATCATAAATCGTTTACTTGCACTATTAAAAGAAAATCAGCCTTCAAGAGTTATTATCGTTAGTAGCAGTCTTCATAGTTGGTGAGTTTTTTTTTCAAATTTAGTTCAATTCTTTACTTCTATTTAGTGCAAGATTGAGTTACACGACAAATGCAAAATTTTCTACTTTTGTCCCTTCAGATCATTCGTCCACCACTTGCAATAGTTTATCAAATGCCGCGCTGTTAACCACCGTGGTAAATTAATAATAAATAACAAACTAGAAAAAATGAATGGCATTGCTGAAAAAACAACTTTCTGAGGAAAGGTAAGAGCACAAAATACTGAGAAGGGAAAAGAAATCGCAAGAAAAGGTCATTTGAATGAATCGCAATTTCCTTCAACCTGCTGTAGTAATGAAGTTGAATTTCATGAAAATTTCCCTTCAGGCACAAAATTGATTGGAAGGACGTAATGGCTGAGCGAGGATATGAAAAGTATCTTCAATTTTCGAGGACGAAATTAATGAATCATTTAACATCATTTGCACTTCATCGTCTTTTGGTCAGGCAAGGGTGTCAATTTCGAGTTACCTCTAATGTTATCGATCTGGGAAATATGAAGCCACGAGATCATAGGTAAGAGATTGGTAAATTTCGAGTTAAGAATTCACAGATACTTGGAAATCTTTTTTTTGTACTTATAATGCTTTGGGAAGTATAAATGATGCATGAATATGCAATATAATAAATAACGTTTTTGATTGATTTAAGCCAAATTTATTTTACATAATTCAAACGCATCGAATTGTAAGGTATGAAAAAATGGTAAAAATGTGCATTTAATTAAGTTGTTAGTTTTCTTTTGCAGAATTGCTATTTATTCCTGTTTTTCTGTGCGCTTCTTAAATATGTTGGTCAATGCTTATTAATAGTGACTATTATTAAGCGCAAAAAATAACACCTTCAATAATTTTTTAGATCGCGAAGTACGTCGCTATCATCCTCAGATACAGCGTTGGTGCTAAATAGTGGTGTTGGCACACTGTTAACATTAATTGAATCTCCTGCACTGGAAAATGTTAGTGGTAAATATTTTGATTGTCATGGAAAGCAGACACGCAGTGGTTCGGATGCTACGGATGAGCGATTGCAGCAGAAACTATGGGAAATCAGTGAACAGCTGTGTAAAGATTATCTAAATTCCGATTTACCTTTTTCTTCGAACTGCACAAGCAATGATGTGCACTGCAGTAATCATTAAGAGGATGAATTTATTGAAATAGCCCGATCAACTGATAATGTGATGCTTCTATTTAAGATCTTCAAACTTCACCTCATAAACTGTAGTAGTTTCTTTTTTTTTCACTTCGACAGCGTGATTATTGCGGGTTTTTATAAGTAGAATTTGTTTTCAGTTCTTGATCCTGCAGCAAAATTTATGTTAGTCGTAAGAATTTATTAAAGTTTGCCTTCCGTTTTTCTTTCAATTATGCAGTGAAATCATTTGTTTGTAGCTGAGGATTTTTCATTCCTTTTTTCAAATTTTTAACAAGTGCAGTGGTTTTAAAAGAATCAATTTTGAAATATTACAAAAATTATTGTTTTGTCGTGCTTTTACAAGATGCCTTTCATTTTATTTTCATGATCTCATAATTTTTCTGTCTTTCACTCACGTTCATGTATTGCTAATAAGGGATTGGTAACGATTGCCAGCTATCAGATTGTGATTTTCTCAATTTCGTTAGGAATGTGGTATGAGATGGAATTATGGAAAAAATGTAAAATGCTTTCATTAATAGTGGATAGATTCGCGTTACTATTCCTTCTAAGCTTCCATAACTGTAGTAAGTGTTTATGGAAGTTTATTTCATAATATTTTGTCGCTAAAAACTCCAAGAGGATATTTTTTATTTCAAGGAATTTATTTTTATCATTGAGGGAACATTGTTTCGTAGCTTTTTTGCTACAGGTAACATCTTATTCCTGTCATCTGTTTTAGATCACTATTAGAGCTCTATTTTTTTTGTTCATTCTGAAATAACTCGGAAGTGATAGTTCTTTTTTTAAATATTGATGCTAATTTTCTCTTGGACACTTCATTTTTACTATTTTTTTATATTGATGTTATTTAAAATGCATGACATGGTTTGCTCTTTATCAAAGGAACCTGACCATGTTGAAAATTAATGTTAAGATCTAAATTACTTTGTTTCGATTTCGATCAAAAATTATTTAGTGTTAATTCTCAATATTGTGTCATGTCAGTAATTCTTTAGCACTGAGTCGAGTTAGTTCAGACTCAGTTGAAGTAAGAGTCATATTAAGTAGATAAAGAGGAAGTGAAATTACTTTGGTTCATCACAGGTGAATTATCTTGCGCATTATATTCTATCAAGATTGCTGTTCACTCTGCTGAAGAACAATGTTCCATCTCGACTGGTTCTTGTAAGCAGCATTTGCTACGAATGGTGCGTTTTTTTCTATTTGATTTTTCAGTATTTGCATGGACAGATATCGTAAGGCTAGATGTGAAATTTCTGGACAAAAGTTTCGTGATGGGTCGCCAATATTAACATTTTTTAAAACTTTGAGGCAATAAGTTGTGAGACCAGTGTATGCATGATAATTCTAATATTCTGAAACACGGCAGCAAATGATAAAGCCGAAGCTTAGTATGTTATAAGGTGACGATATTTCGAATATATGTAATGGTCTCGTAATTTCTGATGTTTATGGTTCATTTTTGGATTCAGGGAAACATGGAACAAGCCATGATTCGATAGGAGTTTTCGTAAAACACCATGTATATTTTCAGGTACTCTTTAGATTGGTCAGACTTGGAAAGTTTGAAAACTTATGAGAAGTATATGCAGTATTCACGTACAAAACTTATGATTCACTTGATGACTTTCAAGTTGGCTCGTTTATTCGCTAGATCTGGAGTTACTTGTAACGTCCTTGAACCAGGCGTCATCGAAACAAAACTTCTGCGGTTAGTTCGAAGGGGACCTTATCCGTTTGGCAATGTCAAATTTTCAAATTATAAAATTACTTGTAAAATATTGAGCTTGAGAGATTTCATTAACTTTTTGTACCAATATTTTTAAAATCATTATGATGACTTTCAACACCAGGAATATTGCTTATTTCAAAGCCCTGACAAATTTCGTTCTCTCATGTTTTCAGTGCCACTATTCACACCTGAATTATTTTCAATGTGAATTGAAATTTAATTTTACTATTCTCATACATAAGTTTAGATAGAAATCTCAACAAATTTCAGAGCTGGCGGTTATAGTGGAGCTCCTGTTTGTGAAGGTTCTCGAGCTTGCGTGTTTTTGTGTACATCTGATAGTGTAGCTAACGTGAATGGTGCTTACTATGACAACAAGTGTGAACATGTCACCAAATTATTTAAAGATGCAGTGGATGAGAAGCAACAAGAAGATCTGTGGCAGCTAACTGATAAGTTATGCGAAAAAAAAGGCGTCATACTTCCAAAAATTTAATTTTTTTACTTAATCTTAAAGAATTTACATTAAAGAACGATTAGCTATCGTTCTTCAATGTAAATTCCTTAAGATTTGAAAATTTATCACCTAATTTTTCGGTTAGGATTTATATCCCTACTCTAAAAGAAAGTATATAAATTCTAACGAAAATCAAATAGAGATGTAAATCCTAATCAAATGATTGATTTTTTGAATTTCTTGACATGCTCTAAAATTATTCTTAAGATTGTAAGCATCTCACTGAAACTATTTTTGTTATTCTGTAGCTTATCAGCTTGTGAGGTTTATCGTTTCTTCTGCTGTTGGTTAGGACATTTTGTGATTCATTTCTGTCCCGTTTCTTTTATTAGAAACGAAATAAATTTGACGTTTTTTCAAACTGCTCTTCAATTTCAAATGGTTGCTTCTCTGCCGTTTCATTTCAGTTGTTGATGAGTTTATTATGTTAGATAAATTTTTTTGGAAGTCTCTGAAGTCAGGTTTTTTGACAAAGGAATTCGATAAATATTGTCATAAAAATGATACTATTTTGATAGAGAATTATTGTATTATGCAGACTACTGAGACAACAGTCCGAATGGCTGAAAGTGAAGAATTTCCAACGGAGGTTGAAATTTTCGAAGATGTTCACGATTCTCAGTTTATTCGACCCATGAGGATGAAATTCAAAAGGGTTGGTATACTTATCTCATTTGTTGGCTAATGCGCTTTGATGCTAAGTTCGGCCACTAGGTAGCAGTTCGTAAACTGTTACTAATTTAATTTTTAGCCTATGAATTTTTCACATTTTGTCATGGAGTTTATATGTGATGGTTTTAAGGAAATACGGTGATAAATAAAACGGTTTTAGGGTGATAAGCTAATCAAATGGGATCTTATCCTACGTCATGACAGTGTTGCCTGTTTACTGTACCACAAACGGAAACAGTTACTGCTCTTTGTAAAGCAGTTCCGGCCACGTAAGTATCTACTTAATTTGCCATGTTTTCGGGAAAAGTTTGTTGGAAACAATTTAAATGGCTCAAACTCTCATGGCTTTTATTGATTGGTATATTCGACAACGTGGACCTCCAAAGTATCATAATAGTCCAACGCAAAGGACTTGCGAGAATTGAATTGCTTGAAAGAATATGCACAATACTGTTTATAGTAAACTGATGTACAACTCCAAAGCAACTAGCCATTGGGTTCAGTCAGTCTTTTGCTCCTTTCAGCTGTCTATATATCGAAAGTACGTAGACTAGACGGAAACGTTGATAAAAAGTGGAATGAAATAAATTGGTCGAAATATCCAATAAGTATGGGTGAAACGATCGAACTCTGCGCTGGTATTATTGATAAACCGAATGTTAGTTGGAGAAAGCATATGCAAGAAGAAATTCATGAAGAATGTGGCTATAGTGTTGACGAAGCTTGCATTCAAAGCATAAAAACATTTGTGTTAGCATTCCCAATTCTTTTCTACAATGGCATAATTTTCAGTCATATATTTTAACGCAACCAGAACTTCAGGCGAATCATGATGGCATAATAGCTAGTTTTCCCTTGAAAATCTATACGAATGTTTCCTTATATTTTAGAACAGGTGTCGGTTCATCGGGTTCCCGGCAGGAATTGTTTTACGCTGAGATCGATGAAACGATGAAAGTTAGTGAAGGAGGTGGCATAGATTCCGAAAAAATTGATAAGGTTTTTTTCAACTTCCACAATTATTTCCTTAAAGGGTCAGGATTTTGAGTTTCAAATTGAGATAAATTTCAGATGATCAAAAAACCAATTTCCCATCACTATTAAGCTGGCTGTTAGTACATGAAGATGCATCCAAGAAGTTGCTAAAGAATATAGCTATAATTCTCTAGCACTGACAATCTGAATGTAAAAATGTTTATGTGAGTGTTCACATAATGCCATGTCCTACAGTGTTTGCTGTGCTAAGGCTATTTCAGTCTCTTGTGATTTTTGGAACAGCTAGTTTTATTTCCAATACATCGTAGATTGACATCTATGTCCTTCAGATTTTCATGACGATACCTGAAGCGCAGAAATATTGTGATCAAAATGAAGTAGCAAGTTCTCCTGGAATGCTTTATGGTTTGATGTGGTTTTTCAAAAATCGAATATAAATGAGCGACAGAGATCGGGGATGAAAATGTGCGCTGCTTATCTTGAAGGTCATTTGTAATATTAGGAATATGCACAACTCCCCCTTCGATAAAATTCCATTTCCCATATATATCTGGTCTAATTGCTTAAAAGCGAACATTAAAATCTATAACATGTATGAAATAATGTAATTCGGTCCCATGAAAACACAAGCTAACTTGAGTCCTTGTCTGGAAATAGATACATAAGAAAAACATAGCGAGGAGGGATCACAATAAAGTGGATAACCATGGAGAATATGTAGGTTTATATTTTGAAGATTAAAATACAGGAGTTATAAAGAGGAATCAAATGCGATAAGAGATTAATTGCTTTATTATTTGAAAGATTGAAGCTAAAATGGATTTGTGTGATCCAAGTTTAAAATCTTATAAAGCTTATATATAACACGCATAACCAGCATTTTATTAATTTTTTTCTTATCACTGTCAAATGGTAGAGGCAGTTTTGGCAGAAGAAGAAAATGAAAAACACTTAATGTAAACCAACCAAGATGACAGGATTATAAGTATTCGGATAATTACAAATTACAAAAAAAATTCAAAGGCACACAGAGAAGAGCAAATTTAAAAAATGGAGAGAGCATCTAATACAAAAAAGAAACAAAAATACATAACGACGAATAACTATCAGTTAGGTAAGAACTAAAGAACCAATAAATCTCTATAGTATTTTAAAATTAAAAAAATTTTATCTAAATCGCTGAAACCTCTTCTACTGTTGATGGAATTAGACCACCAAAATCTTGCAGATCTGAATAAGTTAGCAATTTATGTCTATGTGCGATAAATACGTCTGCAATTCATGTCGACATACAATCATTTTAGTCATTTTAAGTTCAAATTAAAATAACACTTTTTCATGTTTTTTGATCTCATATTGATCTCATACTGAAATCTCATAAGAAACACTATCTGATTTAAGCCCATCCACCAGTTAATTTATGGAAAAGCTCTTCATTTAATGTTTGATTTTGTTCCTTGTTTCGTAACGACAGAAAAATATAGCCACCAATAAATTCATGTGCAACCTGAAAAAAAGAAATAATAGAAATCCTAATACTTGAAATTCACAGAAATATGTAGTATTTCTGAGATCTTCAAGCCATGTTATTAGAAATATTTAGTTTCTGCAAATTGTATTATGTTACCAAAGAAACAACCTTGCAATCAGCAGACAGAGGTTTGAATTCGATATCCTCATCCTCGAATTGTATCTAAAAAATTTTTTAAAGTTCTTCAAATCCACTTTTACTTTCAGAAGTCTCGCACTTCAATCGACAAACTTCAGATGTGCAACCGTTTTCTTAAAAATACTGCTGGAGTCAAGGTTGCGTGTCACTTTGCAAGTCAGATACTGCGGTTTTATTCTTGGCTTTTAATTAATGTTCGAACCAGTGATAACGTTAATTTTTGAAAAAGGCACTTTTCTATTTCATATTTTCATTTCAATGGATGTAACTAATGTCAAATTATAATAAATAAGTAGAAAAATATGTTCAAAATTGTGTGACATTTGCAACGTTCATCTTAAAAAAGAATATAAAACCAAAGCCCACTTTTAGATGTCGAATTTCCCAATTCACGTGCCATTTTTTCATCGTTGAAAACCTCCATGTTTTCAAACTTTCTCCCGTGTCCATATTCATTCGCATTATTCTGTTGAAAGCGATGCCCATCAATTCCGATTTTCGACCATTTCTAAAAAAAGCAAAAATACATACATATAAATGTATATTCATGTGTATTATTTAAATGTATGTATTATACACATTTAAATAATATATTACATACATGTAAAAAGATGTTCTCGATGATAGAAATTATAGATGGTAAGCTATCTGGTGGGTCGTTTTCATTTTGAAAACATTTTGAAAACGGTCCACCAACAGAAAACTTAACTTTTAGACTTCCGGAATTTTGTGATAACAATTTAAAAATTCAGGAACCTGAATCGAACGATGAAGTAATGGATGCCATGTTCTGGTAGTGCTTCCCATGCTCTTATGTACTGTAACTTCGCTTCCATACTAGACAAATTTCGAACACTTGAATGTGCTTCGGTGATTCGTTGTTGAAGCTGCAATAATAGTTAAATTTATAAATTGATTTGGCAAAAAATAAAAAACAATCAAACTAGCTACAAAAAGAACCAGGAAGCACAGCTCAGCTAAAAGACTGCATAGATAAAGAGGGTGTGCCATAATAGTGAGGAAAGCACACACACACATACACATACACACACACACACACACACACACACCAGTAGCTTGCATAATTTTAAGCATAACAGTTTTTAAATTATTTAAGGATATAATATTTCCTAAATAACTTCATATCAGTTAAAATGGGAAATGAAAGGTATGGTATTAGGATGCAGTATTACTGTTTATTTTCTATCTTTTCATTTTGCAAATTTACAAAGTATTTGATTTGCTTTAATTATTCACAGACTTTGAAAAAATGACTTACTGCTTGTCTTGAACGCGCCCTGCGAACATACCTCTGTGAAACAAATTCATCAATATTGAAATCAGGAGGCAATTCAACAGCAAAATGCTTTTTTGATGAATTATTCTGCGCTCCTGCCACTAAAAAAAGAAGAGTTCACTATTTAAATTTATTGCAACGAAGCTGATTTTTTTGGCCTTCTTTGTAGTTATTAAAGCATTTAAAATTACTTTAAACAGGCACTAGCAACAACATTTGGAAAATATAAAGGCTAATTTTATTATTCCCCCCAATCAAATAACTTATGGAAGAATATTTAAAAACCTCCTGATTGCATTTGCAAAAGTTTTTTAATGGAATCAACTTCTGATTGATAACTTGCATCAGCCATTGTCTTTCCACGAGAAGCAAGACGACATGCAGCCATCCAACGTGCATACTGATGCTCCTATCAAAAAACCTTCAGAATGACTTTTTCGTACAAATATTTTGATCGATATTCATAACCCGATCAGAAGGCTAGATTCTTCCATCAGAAGGCTAGGTTGCATGATGAGTTACACATAAAATAGGGTATTTCTCAGCATGAAAAAAAAAAAAAACTGCTGCTTCCTCTATTAAATCCTACGTTTCAGTACTTTTCTTGATTATGCACTCACCGTGTCGCATTTTAAAATCATTTCACTCATTCCTTCACTACTCGGTATGAGTAATTTGATATGGAATTTTGATTGTGCCAGGAAGACATCCGGTATTACCTCACAGCCTGAAAAACAGAATTCCGTAATAAAGCAATAAACATGAAATCCGAACTTGATAACATCTTTAGAAAAAATTAGGGAACATCAGACCGTTTCCAGAATGCTTTAATTGTGCCAAATACGAGAACAGTTATTGTGAAAATATAGTCATGACATCTATAGCTTCATCAAAATCTGGGACAAGAAGGATCTGCCAATATACACTACAATACTATGAAAACCAAACAAAAAATTCACAAAAAACTAATTTTCGAAAGTAGAAACAAACCCTTGAGACTCAAATGTCCTACTGGCGGACCATTCATGTCATTCGAATTCTGATGCCAACTGAGATGTAAGTCTCGAAATGAAAAATATGCTCGTTTAAAGCCTTTGAATGCTATTTTTTTCGGCCTGAATCATACGCTAGTCAGGGCGGTAATTTGAGCATGAAATTTCAACGTGAAATGAAATACCCAGTCCAGCGCACGAGATGCAACAATGAGTAAAATGATTAGCCGAATAAACCTGAACTCCTTGATTAATTGATAAAAATGATCCCGCATCGTTTCATTTGACTTTATAACTAATATTTTTTTACATGCTTTTATTATTAAGATAGTTACTGCTATCGACTTCACACGAAACTCAATTCGCTAATCATTACTTCATGTATTTGAGATAATCGGCAAGTTCAGGGACTTGTGTAAGATCTGCTTTGCGATTGAAAGCTGCTGCGTCCAGATTTTGCTCCTAAACAAATTCAATTAACAGTTCTTAAGTGAAACAAACATTTATAATTTTGGTTCCGCTCAGAAATTGAAAAAGAACAAAAAAAATTTTGCAGAATAATCGGAGTTCTTAATTATGTTACATTCGACAATAATAACACAGAAGATTCAGGAGCAAAAATGACAAACTTACAAGTTCATCGAGTAATAAATCCACGTCATCCTTCTCTGGAGCTTCTGGTTCAGGCAAATCACGCTGTAGGGTCGCTTGCAACTGCAAACGAATCATGCTTTACTTGCAGAAGCAAAAACTTACTTGAACATTTGAAACCTTCAGCAATTTTAACAAAATATTTCAAAAACAAACTTGCAATGCAGCAAAAAGCATTGCTTCTTCCTCAGTATGATCGAATTCTTCCAGCAGAATAGACCATTTAGCTTGCTCGTACAACTGATTGATACGTACTGGATCGTACTGTAAAGGTATTGACAATATATAAACTTTCCATTTTAAATATGAAGAATTATATCTGTTTGTTTTACTCTTCATTTTTTAGAAGGTTGGAAGATATAATTCGAAAAGCAGTAAACAAATACCTTAGGATTTATGTCAAAAAATGACATGTATTTGAATCTCAGAAGGACCATGTCACCTTCAGATATGCCTTGTTCCATAAGGGATCTTAAAAACTTGTTATAGAGAGAAAAAAGTTGCCTTCAAGAGGAAGACTATACAAATTCATTAACTCTCCATAGCAAAATGAGTACTACTGGGCATTTTTAAGAGCCGTAGAAGACAATTTTTTTCATTTAGAGAACGTGTATGAGAGAAATCACAATCTCTGAAACACAAAATCTTTAAAATGCGAGTTTATAATTCAGTTAACAGATATCCTCAATCGAAACATATTATTATCTCACACGCCATCCTTTTCAGGATTCATATTCATTAACACCTCTAATTACAAAAGCCAGGATGGTTCAATAACTAAAATTCCAGAATGGTGACTAAATAACTTCACATACTAAGGAATTCAGTTAAATATTTACCTTGACGAATCAAGCCAACCGCGATTGAGCGCCGCTTTTTCTACATAATTCTGAGGCCTAAAGACATTCATTTCTCTGCTTGGAATAATTCGCGGTGACTGCACAAGAGCCATATCATATTGTTCATTTTCGAGCCCTTCACAGAATGAAACGGAAGGCATAATAGGGTTGCGACCAATTGAACCACCATACTACAAATTCAAAGGATTTTTGAAAGCCACAAAATTATATCCAATAATAGATAACTTCTGCATTACCTCACTTACATTTAAATCTTATATATTTATTGTACTTTAAATATTTGAAAATACAAGAAACAACAACATAAAAAAGATAACTAAAAGAAATGAACTTACAGCGCCAGGACCAGGACTGACACCTCGTGGAACTGTTCCTGCACGTGGGAGTGAGCCAAGCTCACTAGCATTAAATAACTGGCCACTCGTTGACAATCCCGGACTGGTACCTCGACGAAGTGGTCGAGATAAGTTGGACGTAGATGCACTGATCGGTTTCTGTCGGCGAAGAGTACCAGGGCCAACTGATTCCTAAAAAACACTTGTAGGAAAAAAATTATGCAGTTTAAATTTAGAATTACCTGGTGATTTCGAAACTCAAATTTGGAATAAAATTTCTTCGAAAATTTTATATCACTTTCCAAATAACAAATGCAAAATCAATTCTTGCCACTTGAGTTAGAAAAATACAGCACATCTACCTCCAAGTGTGGCAGTACTTGTGGACCAGCTTGATCCAGCTCAAATCCAAGACCTTTCCTAATAAGCTCTGGTGGTATAAATCGTACTAACGACAGCTCTTCAGAGTATCTTATGCCTGAAATTCAAATCTCTTTCATTACAATCTCTTGTCTTTCGAAAAAAAAACTTCCTTCCATCTTAATGAATTTCATTCGTCATTAATTAAAAAATAATAAATGCAAATGCAATATAAAGTTCAAATTCAATCAGAACTTTCGAAGACATGTATCAAAAAGAAGATGAGAAATAGCATACCGATTTCTCGACAAAGTTGCCGCGTGGCACGAACAATATTTACCGAAAAATCCAAGCGTGCATCAATCATTTGTAGATCCGGTAATTGGACTCTGCAAACACTTTACATAAGCTAATAATTTAAAAATTAACAGAGTTTTAAGCAATTTCAGTCTTAAATAAACCAATTTTCTTTAACGATGCAAATAATAGCAAAAATGATTTTAGTTCTGCACAGTTATTTACCAACTATCAGAATGCTGTATCCTCTCAGAAAATCATACTTTTTTACAGAATAAACAATGTCGGACAAATTAAAATATAAAAATTGCTTCACTTTCCTACCTAATTTATTTGATGCATTAACATTTTTTAGTTAAATAACCTATAGAAACAAACATTGCCAATTTGTGCTGAGGAGTAAACTCCAAGTTGCAATTTGCAATAATACCAATTTGATCTAGTGTGCTACGTGTATGCGTTAGCCAACGTCTTTTTTCAGGCCACCAAAGTGCATGATCACTCCAATCTTTGCTCACATCTGCAAATTTCGCCTTTTAACATGTAAAAACTTAATATCCCATTGTTATATTTTGAGAAAAATTTTATTCGGCAACCAATGAGCCAACATTTTTAAAAACGTCGATTACTTTACGACAAGGAACAACATAATTTCAAGATGTGAAGTCTCATTGATATTTTAGTTTAATGGCGTACAGTTTATGATTTTTTGAGTAAATAAGATATTTTGCAAATTATTTACAGAATCCATTTTGCTTCAACAAAATCAAAATCACTATTGACAAGTAGTCAAGGACAAATATAAGTGAAGAAAAATTCAAATTCTGCATCAAAACATAGAAGATGCATTTTCCTTATAATGATGGTATATTTTTTAACAGACTCAACCGAAATACGGAATAATATTAGTATAATGTAATACGAACCAACTTCATCAACCAGTCTAAGCATTAATCCACCAATGTGCAACGATCCGGTAACATACAAATTTCGTTGGATGTTCAAATCAGTAACCAGGATTGAAATTTGCCAACTGCCATCATTAGCAACATCATTCTCCACCAAATGTGTCATTGCTATCTTAATTATAATGCTCATTAACTTTATACAAATATAAACACAATTCACACGATATACGTCACATGATAATATTTGATAAATCGATGGAGAGAAAAACGTAAACACTGTTAAATACCATCTTTTTTCATAAAACTTCATTCACATAAAAGCTTAGCATATCTCATTCTCAAAAGATTAGAAGCGGCAGACGGATATAACATTGGCCCTAACGGTTTGACCATATGGATGTTAGCTTATGCCTTCCTTCCGTTCATCCAACTTCACAGTTGCAGTGCTGCAGTTCTTGCTCGTTCTCTCGAGTGAACTATACGTCTCGTGAATGCAGTGTGTTTATAACACAAGTCAGCATACATACACATACATACACACAACACAACGAATAGATTCGACCAAATAAATACGCAGAGAGATAGGAAAACAAGACGGTGCGAATAGAGAGGAATAGCTAAGGCTAAAATGAAAGAAGGATATTAACGGAATACCAAACTATCAATCCACCCACCAACAACAATAATTCCAAAAGCTTTAGTGAAAGCAATCATTGAAAATTACTACTGATAGTTGCTACGCTACTCTTAAAAAAATTAATGTGTACATCTTTCCAATGTTCAATGAAAATACCAAACGAAAGTACCTAGGAACAACAAAAACTATGATGACATAATTACCGATGGTGTATTAAAATATCGTACATTTTAAATGCTTTGAAAAGATGAAGGTATTTAGAATCCAACTTTACCGATAAATTCAACAATTATCTTTAAAAAATATCCTACAACAGAATATCGGGATGGAATTTTGGAAAAGATTTGTTCATCCCAGTTCGAGTTCAGTTTTTTTTCCTCCTAAAGTTTTATTAAAAACCGAAAACGGCTTGAGCTCAGTCTCTAACTTTTGCAATAAAACCACTATATCTCAGTTTTTCTTTTTATTTTAAATAGCAAATAAAAACCTATTTCCCAAGTGAACTTGGATCATCAAATGAATTACATAAATGAAAAGATGACATTATCAAGCGTGTTTAACTCGATAAGTTAAAAGTGAAATAGATCAAAAAGAAGGAAGTTAACTGGTTACCATTCCAAAAGCAAGCGTCTTTTCTAAAATTTTGATCGGAAAAAAGGTTCTAACAACAAATAATATATTACGATTTTAAAGTCTTTCAGCTTTATCTGAGAAAACGATAAAAAATACGTAGCAAATATTTATTTGTTTAAACCTGAATACAAACAAATCATAAATGTCTTTTAAAGCAAGAATTTTTAAGCAAAAACAAAGGAATATATCTTAAGAATAAAAATTGCTGCCATTCACTACAATGTGCGATTTCGAATCATTTAATTTTTCATGACTTCTTATGCCGAATTAGTATTTTTTTGTAATTCATTTTTAAAATTTATTTCTTTAAAGTGAAAAAAGAGAGAAATCTAGATAATATAATAATCTCGAGTTACCAATGCACGAGAGCGTGCAAACTCTAAAGATATGTTGTATTTTTCGCAAACAGAAATGAGTGAAATTCCCCCCACAATGAAAAATAGCAATAATATATGACACTGAAAGCTTCCTAAATCAAGTAAAACTACTTACACAAAGACAATTCTGAACAAGCACGAAAATTCTTAAAGAAATCAGAAATAAAAATAATAAACGCTATTTCGTGCTTATTTAATATAAAATCATGAAAAAAATTTGGAAATTAACTGACCAACTGCATACGAATCTTTCTACATTATATGTGTCAATAGCAAGCCTAGTTAGACTTAACAATCTTTTTGAAAGACAAAAAAGTGACATCGCACGTGATGAGACTTCGAGTCCATAAGTGAAGTATAATAGGAAAGTTAAAGTCCTAATACCGTTGATAATATTCTGTTGACCAATCTGATACTAAAAGAGACGAATGAGACAATTTCATTTAATTTTTCACCTATAAAGTGAAAATTAAATTATAATATGGCATTAAGAACCTACAACATTTAGAAAACAAATGGACAAAAAATGTAGCAAAAGTGCATCTGTAAAATTCATAGAAATACCATAAAAAAAGGCATATTGCTCTTGTACAAAATTATAAACATTTAAAAGTGTTAGGAAAACAAGAAAAGTTCTAAAACTGAAGTCACACTAAAAGCGTAATTTCAAATAATCTATTTTTCTATTCGAAGTAAGACAAATGACTAATAATTATTATACTGACAGAGAAACTTCTATATTGAATGCTTGAACTTCATTTGTTATTTTTGCTATTCAATTAATCGAAAAAAACTAATTATTTCATTACTTTCAGAGATGGGTACAAAAATTCCTAATCATCGTAGTAATAACACTCAAAGGCTTTCCTCAAGCAGTGGTTGAAAATTTCTCGAAATGATCAGTTGGGATTTTTCGGATTCCGATTCAATTATTATGAAATAAACTGTTGATGGAAAGTTAGTTGTTTTCCATCTTCTGAAATTTTTTAATTCATTTAATTGAAACTAATCGTAAGATACAAGCGCTGCAAGGTTATAAGTAATAACTTGTAAAAAGGCTTAATTACGACTCCAAAATTTCAGACAGTGTAAAAGTGCAGGATGAAAAGGATGTCTATTTCAAAAGTCCGTTAAAACAATTTATAAAGAACTAACGATATGTATTGAAGTGTGTTTACCGGAACTCAATTTTCTGCAGGCTCAGATCACCTTTCACGGTGATACTTTCGACATGCATCAGCTTGGAAGATCTTCGGTAATTAAAATTAACAAAATGACTGCTATTAACTGTTATCTGGAAAAAAATCTTAAGACTTGACATCGCGAAATCATTAATGATCACCAGAGGTTATATTTCATCAACAAAATGAAAAATTAATACTTGTTGAATATTGTTCATAATGTTGTTCATTTACTTTTTGAATTAAAAAATTATCATCGAACAGATATACGTGAAATGATATTGGTATGCTATATTATATTGGTTGTTTTACGGTACCCAGCTTGACTTATACTAACTCTAACTTTTAATGAAAGAGTAAGACATTTCATAACGAAATATCTCACTCTTTTACTTCATAATGAAATATCATCTTTTATTTCATAATGAAATATCTCACTCTCATTTTAGATGCTACAAAATTTTCCAGCATTTTGGATTTTATACAACGAAATGAAATCCAGAATAAAATTTACTATCTGAAATAACATCATTCATCATTAATTTCACGCAAAAAAATGAAAAGAACTTAAAATGAGTCACAAATAATACTCTTCAATGCTTTTATGAGGCTATAAATTTCAATCACTATAAAAACTCACAGAAATGTACTCTTCCTCAAAATGAAACATGATATCAAAGGTATTTCCTCGTCGAAAAGGGAAGAAACACATTTCACGTTCTTCCTTTTGCCATTCTCCAAACTCCGTACTATTTCGCACCACTGCTTCTTGCTTAAGAAACAAATAGAAAAATTCTGGAGGCTAGAATTCTGAATAAAATTATACAAATTACATATAAGAAATATATTTCTGAGACTTTTGGTAGCGAAAAGTTAGCAAGTGATAGTTTTAACTGTAAACACAAATGAAACCCCAACACAACTAGAACTGATAATTTTCAGATAAATCCAGTTGTAGGATATTACTCCCAGCAGTTCTCCGAATAAGCAGAAATGTGCTCAAACAAACCTTTTCATTTCCCACTGCAAAATCCACTCGAAAATGGAAGAAGTGTTCCATCGGTGTCAAAAAGTCAATAGTGAAACACTCAGCATTCATTAGAGGAGTGCCAGTAACTAATACTTTTATACCATATGACAATCTTTCCCCCAAACGCATATTAAAAGGGATCTTCTGAAATTTGCTACATCAGAGAAAAACCAATCCCACAGCAAAATTTTTAACGAAAGATAGCTCAGAAATGAAAAATAAAAAGACCAAAAAGACCTGAACCTTAATTTCAGCATGCAAAGTGTAAGATAGATTACTATATAGTAGATGACATGAGTAATGTTTAGTTCTGCGGAGCTATTTTACAGCTAAATTATATGCTAACAGGCTTGCGAATAATATCGTTGATGAAAAGTTTGCCAACTTCGTCAGTTAATTCCATTTGTTTGGGAATTGCAGTATTCTGCAAATTAAAGGTTAATTGAAAATAATAAACGAACAAAATAAGCAAAAGAAGCATAAAATACTTTTGAGGAAATTTCAACAAAATTTAACAGAATAAATCGGTGTTTTCATATGAGATCTGCAAGAATTCTGTAATTAAGTTTTCAAAAATCGCCATAGCTAGGTTTTTAAACAAAGAATACAATAAACTAATTGTAAATAAAGTAAGCATACAATAATTCCAAGTAGCACGCGACAACAAAATTACTCTACCGTAAGCACTTAGATCATGACTTAAATCAGTAAGTGGTATTCACTACTGACTGTTTAAAATAACCCAAGATCTTACAGAATGAATGTCTCGTACCAAAAAGGTGAAAAACCTGCTTTAGCTTTAAACTTACTTAAGGTTAAACCTGCTTAAACCTTAAATCTACTTAAGCTTAACGCGAAAGTAAGAAACAGAGTAAAAAAAATTTAAATTAAATAGAATAAACGAGTACATTAATGTCCTGATATTCAATTGTGCTGATTCGCACATTCCCTGCTATAAAAATTGTCCTAATATCAGTGATCGGTATCCGATGTAAATAGTCACATAAATGACGACCATCCACAGCAATCTAAATTTAATTTATAACATAAACTCTGTTTGCAGAACATGAATTTTGGTTTCGTTGATCTCAAGCTAATTTCAAGTCTGTATTATCACCAATGTCACTTAAAAAATTTTAAACTTAGAAACTAGAACAAAAATCAAAGAATTCAAACTGTGAGTTTGGTGTAAATTGAACCAATTTAACGATAGCAGGTCGAGATACAGGGTCAACATACATTGAAATAATTAGTAAGCACCAAAATGCGCAGTGAAAATTCATTTCCTTTTTTGAAAACATTTGCGTAGCGCTCCTCCATACCCCATCGGTTGCCAATTAACGAATTTAATACAATTTGTCGATCAGGCGGAGTACGAAACCTGTACAGTTTTTATTACATATTTATCCTTGTTTTTCAACATTTTTTTTTCTTCTCATTCGGCCGATGCATTAAAGTCCTCGAAGCTACCCGGACCAGGGATGATTTTTTCGATTTTCTGATAACATGTCAACATTTTAATGGAGGCTACGAATTAAAAAAAAAAAGCAATTTAATGCAAGCACACAATAGTAACTAATCAATATCGTACTTTAAACTGACTGTACAAACTGCTGTAACTTACCATGAGCTACCAGTATCGAATCGAGGATTGAAATGTAACGCTTTGTCATCTCGATGATCGCCTTCAATGAGCAAACCACAACAAAATTCTACAACAAAACGTTTCTGATATGGATCATGCAGAACGGCTCCCTTGATAATGACACTTCGACCTGGATACAATCTATCCGGAATCATTTCCATGTATGGTATTACCTGCAACTTTTTTAGCCAATTTAGACTTCACATGTAAATCATTACTTATTAAGGTGATTTGTTCGGATGTAAATGAAATTTTTGCTATTTAAATTAAAATATACTATGGATGTAAAGGAACGTACCGGATCGGTCACGACAGCGGTTGATTTCAGTGGTGTTGACGATGCCATCTTGTAAGTACTTATTGATGCTGAACTTTATTGATTAATAACAAAGAATTAACAGCAATCCCCAATAATAACGTCAACATCCATGACAAATCACCTAGAACTATCTAACATTTCGATGTTAGGTTTAACAGACCGTCAAAGTGGCCTGTGACGGTTTGACGCAATAGCAAAATTGGCTGTTTGGATATGAGCTGTTTGATGCTGTTTATTTTCTAGCTGTTTAGTATATCACTATATGTGTCCTTTGAATATATTTTTTCCTCCTCTGAACACGCTACTATTCCTGAATACTTGATACGATCCGGAATATTTGATACAATCTCTAATTCAAAAAATTCTTTACTGAATTTTTGGATATTGGAGGCATGTAATGAAGCAAGTAGTATATTACCATTTGCTCAAGAACGTGATGTCTCAGTTTTTTGTCTACTTCAAATGCAATTATAATAATTTTACTTTTCATTGATGGAATTTCCAGATGGCTAGGAAGATTAGTTGGGTATTGGAACGATTGCTACAAGCAGTTCAGCCAAATTACAGCTGTACCAGTTGTTTTCTGAGTATCTCTTCAAAACATTCCAAAAGCATCAAGGAAGTGTCTCGTATTGGTGAGTGTACATATTTTAGAATTGTTCTTGAGAAGGATTTTGTTTTTTATTACCGCCATCATAAACTGTGTTCCTTCATAATCATAAGGAAAGCAATCTTCCGTCACTTTATGATTCTAAAAACAGAATTAATTTCATTTATCTCTCCTCTTCAACTCACTGCATTTCTTGGTGTTTGCGCAGATGTCTTAATTATTTTCTTTTGCTCCAAAAAAGAAGCATTTTCTTCGAAACTTTTGCAGGTATTGACAAAAAAGAAATGCAAACTCCTTTAACGGAAGGTACTGTGGGTGGTTCAGGATGGGTTCCAGTCAATTTGTCGAATTTTTATGATCGCTTACCAACAGTGGAAATATTTAAGCAACAATTTGATGGTGTAGCTTTCGAAGAGCTCCCAATTGTTCATGTAAAAGCATCAAGGAACAATACACTGATTACTGTAACTGATCATAAAGTACACGCATTGTTATTGTAATTTTACCATTCAGATCTAATTACTTATTTTTGTTAAGTTTTGTCACAGGTTAATCGGTCACATCGCTTCTACTGAGAACCAGTAGAAGCGATGTGACCGATTAACTCATAGCTGACTAAAGCATAGTCAATTGAATTTGTTTTAAAATATGTTATTACAAATATTCAAATTTGATTTAAATGTTCCCTAATTTTTTCTTGAAAAACATTCCACTTAATTTTAAGTACCTTCAAGTTTAAATTATTTTTATTCCTATTACTTTTAAAAATCAGATTTCATGGATGGGTGTAATTGCAGTACAATATTATAACCTATACTTCTTGTCGTTTGGAAGGATTCAAAAACGCGCGGAAAAAGACTAATATTGCTGGTCAAACAACAGGTGTCGCAGCTGGACAACGGCTTATTAGGCGAGGAATTCGAACAGTTCGTGTGCTGGTTCGTTTTGCCTTTAATGATTAGAGCTACTGCTCGTTTCAAACTTAGTTTTAATATTCTTTCCAAGATTGAGAATTATCTTATTTATAGGAGAATCTCCATTTATAGGAGAATCTTTTATAGGAGAATCTCTTATTTGTAGGAGAATCAATTTTTTTTAGATCCGAGGACCGTAGTTGTAAACTGCCTAGTAATTGAATTTTGGGAACAATTTTTTTTAGATTCGAGGACTCGGGCCAGGGCGAATGACTTCCATACAAGGTATGGCCACTGCTGGCGTCAAAATTGTTTCCATAACCGAACAATCAGCGCTTCCTGAGCTTGGTCCAAGACCGAAGAAAATTCCTAGGATCTGAATAACTTTATTCGTACATGACTTGATAAATATTGTAATTTAATTTCCTATCGACAAGACTCTTCGTTTCACTTCTGTGAGTGCGAAGAACACATTCATGTGCAGAGAAAATGATTTAAGTATTGGGATGAATATTTTTTCGGCAAGATTCTAAATAAGGAGTTTGTTTCTATAAGTAGATTTTCTTGGCAATGAAAGAATCCATCATTCATTTGTTGAAGATGTATTAGGCTAGATGTATGCTTTACACAAATTTTAAAAATTCAATTCAAATTATTCCTAAATACTGATAGTAATTGGCAACTTCAAAATAATTCTTCAGCATCAAGCTTTCGGATCTCAGTCATTTTCTGCTTCGTGCAGTACTGGATAAACGTCGGCATCCACATTTAGTGAGGTACCAAGGCGTTCTAAAACACTTTGTTAACAGATTACCTAAAATTGACCAATTTTTTTCGACAAAGTTCATACGATTCTTCATTTGATGAAATTGTAAGTAAATATGAAAATTTCTGTATGGCATTAATACAATTAAATCACATTCAGTTTTTTCAATTTTGATTCAAATAGATCAATTTTGCTTGATTATTTAATCTGTTAAAATATACAAAACAGATGTATCATTTTATCCATTCTTGGGATATTCTTTTTCCTTATTTTTTAGCAGTAATTTTAATAAATTTAATTGGTAGCCTTTTTAGACGTGATGTAAGCAGTTATACATAAATTGTTATTAATTTTAATCTGAACTAATCTGTGTGTCTTGAAATATTCAAGTAAGTTTTATTTCACAGAAGAATAAAAACTATGTCAAAGTGGGGAGTGAATTATTTATTAAATGATATAAATTTAAATTTTCAATAAAATGTATAAATGGAACGATCGGTAAATAACGAAATCTAATTTGATAAAAAGAAAAATATTTTCAATATCATAAATCCTCTCAAGTCATGGTTTGAAATTATTTTCTCCTCCACTTTGATCCATTTCCATCCTCTTCGGAATAAATATTTGAGTTAAATTTTCAATCATAAATCTCATCTTTAAAACTTTACCGTCCATCGGTGTTATTTGCAAAATTTGCTGATTGACAGAAGGATATTTGATGAAATGTAAATATCATTTGATATCGACCATTACTGACAAAAACATTTTGTTTTGCTCTGTCAATTCTGCATTTGGGAATAGTAGGGAGTAGTAGTGCAGTCTTGGTCTATTTATCCATGTAACATAAAAGGCCCTGTGAAGTTGTGTATTTAAGGTGACTATAACAATAGTAATCCCTCATACTTCGCCAAGATGCTTTTACTAGTACTTTACAGATTTCAGAATAGAATTTTTGGTAAACATGCACATTTATTTCGCATGATTTTACTATGAATGAAAAAAACTAAAATTCAGATTTTCAATTTAAACTTAAACTTTTGTAAAGCAATATGAAAAGTATTCAATTCATTAATAGTTTGAAAAAGCCAAAAAATAAGGATAAGTAATATGAATAGTTGAAAATTGAGAAAAGTACAAGTTATAGACCAACAAATTTAGCCTAATTTTTTAAATTTGAAGTTAAAAAGACAAAAGGTAAATTTCTTCTTATTATTATTCTTTCTTTGAGAAAATAATAATAAGATCTTATAAGAGAACTGAGAAACTATTTAAGATTATTCTCACTGGCATCCTAATTAGGTTGTGAAATTTAGCTATAAGCAACAATATTCTCTTAAAAAAGTTCTGATATTTTCAGATCCAAGATATGATTATTTTAAGTTGGTCCAAAGCTTATTACGATTAAATTGATTAGCATAATTTGAAATATGATAACTTTATATCGTTATACAGAAACAAATAAATCAATATTAAAATGTTTAATTTATAAGGATAAAATAAAAGAGAAAAAGTAGCAAATAACAAGTGATTTTCAAGAATCTGAGAATTTTGAGAATTCTCAGACCTCTTAGTAAATAATGTATTATTATTATTAACTGCTATTAAAACAAATTTTATACCGTCTCTCTCCTACCATAAGCAGTAACAATGATAATATTGAGTAATTCCATGATGAAGTCACTCATTATTTATTTCACTTATCTAATATAACTTTAATTGAAGTTTTTAATCGCATCGATCATCCTCTCTCCATCTAACCGTATATACGATACAGTAATTTTAAGCAAAAAAAGAACCAAGATCGTCAAGTATACTGAGTACCAACGGAATGCTATCGGTCAGTTGTTGTAGACGGATAGAAATATATGTCCATAACCAATAGTTGTACATATTATCTGAAAACTTAACATAAAAAACCGTTTCAGCAACCGCTCTTATTATTAATTATTTATCACATTATTCATCGAGTGGTACAGAAATTTTGTTGAATAAATATTTATATTATTGAAAGAAAAAAGTTTAAATTGTGAAAATTATACTTATACATTTATTGTTCAGTAATGAAATAAAAACAAAAGAATCTTCCAGTAGCTTTTTATAATATTTTACAATCCGGTTTCTGATTTCCGGTCAAATTTTATCGATTTATTTTGGCAAAAAAGAAAAAATGATTTTTCTAATTTTTTTAACAAATAAAATAATTAGTAAATAGTATAAAATGTACACAGATTATATGATTTAATATCTAGAAGAAACTGTAATAAACAACAGAAATGGGATGTTGAAATTCATTAAGGCGTCAAATTTCAACAAATGAAGTAGAAATCTTTCCATTGCTATGATATATGCAAAGTTGATTAAATTAAAAAGAAATTTTTATTAAATAGGTTGGAAAAATTCGGAATCAAAAATTGAAAATGTCAAGTGCCCTTAATTAACTAATTAAAAGTTTGGAAAATTAAAGTTTTTAATATTTTGTTTGCATTTCTTATCATATCTAATGTATTCTTTAAATATATAAAAACTTAACTCAATTTGCTTATTTTTAATGAAATTATTTCATCTGAGAGATTTGTCTAATATTAGATGATAAGAATGTTCATGACATCAAATGGCTATCATTTATCAGTAACTGATTCCTTAGCAGTACTGATTATTTTGGGGCATGAGAAACTGCGTATCACTGCGGTTACCGAAAAGTATTATTGGGATTAACTTTTATTCAATCTTAAAAGATAATCGAATTTTCTCAAATAAACGACAATAATAACACTCGAATTTAAATGAAGGTCAAGGTGTTAACTTTGACCTTTGGGCAATAGTTCAGAATCTGAACATGCTGCCTCAAATTCTGATTTTCTATAGATTTGATCTTCCATAGATCAAATGTCGACTTAATTTACCTTAAACATCTTATTGATAAATTGTCAGTTTAAAACTATTTACATGATGCATTTCTTGTTATTATTCAATTATTGTTAACATAGAAATAGCAATAATTTGATTAAATTATTAAGTAAGATCTTTCAATTTCATTTTTAAAAATTTTAAAATAGAAAAATGAAAATATACTTTTACGATATTTTTTGTATTACTTAATCCTATCAGTTAATCAGATAACTTCATCAACCAAAAATATTCACTAATCTGTCAAATTGAGAATAATTATTAGTGATTTTACATTATCATTCATATTATCATAACATGAATGTCATCTGCATACGGCTATAAATGGATAATCGATCCCCGTTGTCCCATTTTTCAACAAATAACAATAGGTTCAGAAGCCAAATAGAAAGTAAAAAGTTGCTGATATGATAGACTGATTGTTTTGTTAATTCTTTTTAATAAATCATTTCATTCTTTTATTTTTAATTTATTTCAAACTTTTTTTAAAACCATTTTTAGCAATAATTTTTATTCAAAAAAAAAAGAAATTAAACTTTATTAATAAAGAACACATTTCATTTAGTTTATTTTTAATTTTATTGAAAAGATATGAAATTAACATGGAGAAATAATGTATTCATGTTTACTTTTTATCTTATCATTGTCATCTTTATCATAATAATCAACAATATTGTTAAATTCATGCTCACGAAAGTTAAGCTAATTTGAATGGAAACAATTACAAATATACTTTATCCTGAAATCATCCTTTTCGATATATTTTTATAATTTTTATCAATTGAAAATTGTGATGATAATTGTTTCACTTTTACAAATGATATAAAAATCGTTATGAAACATTTAAGCAAAATTCAAAATCGATCATCGAATGCAACTTAAAGGCGAACACTTCCGTCCTCTTTCAAATTAAATTTTATTCTTGGACAAATTCTAATTTCCTGCTGCAAGATATTTTGGAATTTCATATTTTGATTGTTGATAAGAAAATTTCTAATTTTGAAGATTGGCCATTTCTCGGAATAAAGAGGTTCAGCAAATGAGGAGGAAAATGATGGATATTTAGGTCATTAATGGTTGGTTGTTCGTCACGAAACCATTGACAATATACATTTATAACCAATATTCTTTTCTGTCATCTCTTGCAAATATATTCCTTCCTGCAAGTGATCTATTTCATTTCATTTATGCTTATTTAATTCCAAATTAATAATTTTTATTTGGAAGTAGTAAAATTTAATTATAAAATGAATTTCAACACTTCTAAGTTCATATATATTTTTGGGAGGAATAATCTCGGAACATATATTTCTTCTCTTTCTTCAACTGCACTAACAATAAATAAGATTTCATAATTAGTACCAATTATTAATAGACTTCATAATTAGTATATTTGCCGTTCACTTTTAGAAATGGTTTTTGTTGAAAGCACAACTTTGAATACCACATTTCTATCTCTATTAACATAGTTTTCCTCATCCTGAATAATTCCCGCGTACAATTTTCGAATTAAAAGTTGCTCCAGAATTACTAGAAATAAAATAAATTTGACATGTCCGTCTATTTCTTTCAAATAGCATCAGAAATATTAACCTCCATTCAATTCTGGTACTTTTCGACATTAAGACATTTGTTCATATATTTCAAGTGCAACTAAATTTCGATTTAATTTCCATTACCATTTTCATCAGTTAGAATACAGCGGTAATGTCATCAAATCAAATCTCACATTAAGCGCTAATTTTTAATGGTTGCGCGTCTTCAAAAATCGATTGATTATATTAGGCGAATTTATGAAAACCATCAATGATAGAGCAATTTCAATTTCTCATAAATCTTGTTTCGCGTTCCATTTGAATTTGCTGATTTGCAACCCTTCCATATCTCATTGTTTGCGTGTATTTGTTTGTTTACTCATTTTGAAATGTCGCATTTAAAATATTTCGGTCGAAGTCCGACATCCACGAAATAAACTTTAAGCTTTCGTGAAAATCCAATTTCATTTATTTCTTGGGATTAATTATGGATAAAACAAATCTCTTATATGATAATTTCAAGTGCTTAAAGTATAGTCCGAACTGTATTCAAGCAAAAGTATACACGTTATTAGAGGCTCAAAGTGGATAAGTGCAACATTTAGCGAAATAATTAATACTATAGCCTTCAAAACAATTCAACGTATTTTAGGGATGATATATTCTTTGGTGTTAACCATATCCATATTCCTACATAACTTGCTGAGTACCGCCGGTTCACCAGATCCACCAGTATTTACCGATGTACAACATTATCCATGCATTTGTTACCTCCCACCAGGTTTGCTATATTTTTATCATTCTCAAAATGAAACATTTCATAATTTACAGGAATGGAACAATTAGTAATTTATTTCTATATTTTTTACAACTATAATTTATAACTAAATACGAAATATCACATCTTGTAGTAGATAAGAGGATTTTTCATCGAAATCTAATTAAATAAATGTTATCATAAACCTATTCTTTAGTTGCATATCATTACTAAAATAAGATTGAAGCAAGAATAGTAATAAAACTACACCAAATATGAGAACTTACTCCTCATTTTTAACTGGCGGATTTTGCTTTCTTCTACATGAACTGTTATAGACTCAGGATTATGTCCAATCGAAGAAATGAATGATGACACAATAGATAAGGAATTGCAAGTGCGTTATTACTTTGATCCAGTCACCGAAAAATGTTATCCATTTGGTACTCAGAGCTGCGGCGGTAATGAAAATCGTTTTGAGAACATTGGTATATGTCAGAGTATTTGCACAAAACACGAATAAACTTATCTAAACAGTAAAATCATGTATAGACTTATTTAAATCGTTTCAACAATAAAATCAGTCATCTTTGGAAATTGAAGGGTGTAATATACATATATATCTTCCTTCGTAGTTTCGTAGTGAATCTCTCAATTTAGTAATTTTTAAACGGATTAATCCAACTAGTAGAAATTTGTTATATGTAGATAAATAAAACTTAAGCTGAAATTTTTATATTTTAATTGATTACTTATCACTTTAAGCCGCCTAAATTATTCAATACTTCTCGGGATGACTAAATGAAATAGCTATTGTTTAAATTTGCGTGTTGCTTTTGCTGTCCTAATTTATAAGATAATGCAAACAGCTTATACTTTAAATGCATGGTATTGTGACATAGCAATTAACATCTTTTCCCACAATAAGACGCGACGAACAAATTTAAATTTAACTTAACAAATCAAACAAAAACCTACTCTTCGATCAGCAGTCAAAAACAACAGAATTATAACATTCATTCTAACAAATTTAAGAAAATAAGAACGATGCAATTTTAAATAAAGAAACCTTGAAAAGCCAGAAAAGTATACGGAGAATGCAAGATATCTGTAAAACCTGCAAAAGCAAAAAGGAATCTAATTTTGGAATAGCAGCAATTCTAAAGCCTAAATTGATGTGACCATACAAAACAGTTTTGCAGAAATAAATGTCAAGAAAAAACAAAAATAACTACTATCAAGAAAAAATTTAAATAATTGGAGAATCGATATCACACAATTAAATGTAGATCCCTGTCCAAAGCATGAGAAAAACTGAACCAAATCCAAGGAAAAGCGCTGCAACTGATGAAATTAACAGTTCCTTGACGAGAACTCGAGTAAACTTCGTTGAAGTTACCTAAAAAAATTATTAGACATAACGAAATGTTATAATACAAGCACTTGAAATTATATGAGAGGTCGCATAAAAGAGAAAGTGAGATAAATACAATAAATAATTTAATGAACCTCATAAACGAAGAACCAAGCCATAAAAAAGAGGCCTATTGCGAGCAGCAATACAGCTAACTGCGAATACAGTGAAGGATTCACCTGAAAATTTTCAATTCAAATAAGATTTAGGTTCAAAATTGCTGCTAAAATCAATGTAAACTAAGGCAAATTTTACACATTTTTTAAAAATTTATATATGACCTGACAAAAGTAACAATATCACATGAACTCTTACCGGTCCGACATACCGCTCCATCGACAACAAATCATCAGTCATTTTTTGGACCTGAAATTATGAAGGGTTGCGGAGTTGAGTTTGCTCGATCCTGTATAGTAGACACGATGTTTTGCCGTTATGAGAAAAACATCACGCATATCTTGCAAAAGTTAAGGATACTTAAAAGTAGGCATTCAAGGCTAAATAAAGGATTGAAGAGACTTTACTGCACTTCTGTCACAATCCGCAATTTATTTCATTCAAAGCAAAAACAAGATAAAAAACGTTACTCGGCTGGTTACGACGATACTACAGCGGATAAAAAAAAACGAATAGATGTTTATTACATTATCACAAAGACATTTATTACGTAAAGTTCATGTTATAGACTATAGAATACAGTTTTATGATTCCACAAAGAAAGAAAGATCATATCTCACGTTAAAAACCGGATGAAACGGTTGATCAATTCAGGAGCCTCTCCGGTTACTGGTTCAAATGAATACCAATTTTTTTAATTCATAATAAATGAGAGAGACAAATTGAGTAGGCATAAAGAAGGTGGCAATATGACGGGAATAATGGATCATCATTAAAGAAATAACATTTGTGCCATGATAAAATGTACAAATCTTGACCACAGATTAACAGATTAAAACAAAATAATAAGAAAAAATTGTATTTTAATAAAGACAAGAAAATTTTTTCGATCAGTAAAAATAATGAAAGCGAAGGGAAATAAAATTATATATAAAATCTTTATATACGGAATGAAATTCTAAAATCTACTTCAGCTTCATGCGAAATCAGTTCTTCCACTTCAGGAAAAGTCACGATCCGGAAAAATTGCTGGTGCTGCAAGTGTCCATGCATAAATTGCAAGACAAAGCCAAGAAGATACAATTTTCACCCATACTGCTGCCATATTGCTGTTTAGATGACGCAAATCACTATCCGGCCTTAAATTAGATTTTAGAATCAGAAAAAACCATTGAAATTTAATTGTTAGGTCAACAATAGTGATTTATGTTTAAAGCAACAGATCCTCAACAATCTTCTTTGAATGTTTACGAACTCACTTGTACCAGCATGTAAGAGTCATCATTACATACAGTGAAGCCAGTCCAAATACAAAATGGAAAAATGAGTAGCTATACGAAACAGCATCTGACTCATCATCCCAAACACGTCCGCTTTCGAGATTATCTGAAAATTTTTCTTCCAAAATATTTCTTATCCAAAGTGAAAATTAAATTATGCAAGCAGATAAAAGTATTAATTAATCATCAAATAAATAAACAACTGAAAATTCTTATTTTTAAAACTTCATTTAGGAAAATGACAATATGAAAATTAAAACGAAGTTTTAGGATATAATTTGACCTGAATTCAAAGTAGTAGCAAGAATCAACTATCTATTTTCCTCCGTTACTCCAATACACTAATTTTTCTTCAAAAGATACATCGTAGATTCATAAAAATTTAGATTTGTCAAAACGTGTACAGAAAATTAAAGAAAGTTGTCCAACATGCATATAGATGGAAAAAATAGAGGCAATCTGAACTGTGCAGAGTCCATTGCAACTTCGCCCTATCACACATTCTAGGTTTTGAAAATTTTCGACAATACATGTGCATTATGGACCATTTCTAAAAGACTAACAAATTGCTAGTTTTTATTCATGAATATAATGAACTGTTATGATAGGGTGAAGTGTGATGGACCTTCGGTGGATGTGATAATATGCTGCTGAGAACCGTTATCTGCATTATGCACTGTTAATGGTGATGAACCGCCTGCAATTTTATTGAAATTCGATGAGGTCCGGAATGATGCATAGAGTATGCAGATAAACCAAATAAGAAGAGAAACTAAAGATTCAGTTGGTATTGGTGTTCCATAAATATCCTGCAGAACATAGAATATTACATATATATCAAATGATTATAAAATATATATCAATGATCTTCCATATGATCTTCCAAATATATATCAAATAATTAAAAAATTTTTTATGGATAGAAAATGAAAAAATTGTTTCCCAAATTAATGAATGTTAAAATTCAAAATACCTGGCCATAATGAGTCGTGTGGTTGGTAAAAATGTCAATCAACGAAGGATTGCACTCTTTATCTGGAAAATCATATTTGTTTTTAGCAATTTTTTTAAAAACTAGAAGGTAATTTTGATTGTATTAAAAACAAAAGCTGACCTGGATTATTGATTAGTGCAGACCATGTGATGTACACTACGTAGAGCGTAATGAACGATGACTGCAACAAGCCTGATCGAGGCATTTGTTCCTGTATACGTGGAAGAATCGACAAGACAGAAACTAGCACACAGAGAATGACATTGAATGAAATAAATAACTTTGGCATATAACACGAATTTCCCTGCAATATATTCATATTCTTCCTAAATCATACTTTTGCAATAAATATCCGAAAAGGAAAGCATGCAATTGAAATCCTCATGAAAAATAATTTACTGATGTAAATGAAATTAGTTATTCAAAACTTACCGAAGTGTAAAATATATACATTAGCACGACAGCACCGATGGCTAATGTATATGCGAGGCAAGTGAACACTAACAACCCTGAAATACTAATTTAAAACTGAAAATTTTTGAGTGTTGCTATAACAGCATCATTCGACATGACATTCATAATGATACCTAACAAAACAAAGTATAATTACTTGCCTTCTCTTTTTCGCATCTTACTTTCTCTTTTTTGTCTTAAAATTCAATCACCTTTTAGCTTTATCTAACCATACTTGAAGTTAATTATACCTTTGGTAATCATATATTATTTTTAGCAGTTATGGTTCACCTGATTTGAATACACATGAACAGCGCGAATGAAGATGCAAAGTATGATAAATAAAGTAATTCATGAAAACGAACATTATTCAAAGAACATTTAGGAAACAAGTCAAACTTACCACAATAACATGTGCGACTTTCATTCTCTTCATATTTTTCCATCCATCCTTCAGCAAGCGAATGAGCGAAATCAACGATCAATATAAGCTGTAGGAGGATAAAAATAAATCCACCAATCAAGCCAGTCCACATTAAAGCTGAAAAGTAACTCATCATTTTCCATTTTGAGAAAAATGTTATTGTAGAGAATGTCAGAAGAAAAATTAGTAGTGAAGAAAGAAATAACGAAACAGGAAACTACGAAAGAAAAAAACGAACGCGAAGAAATGCTTTCCGAACTGACATAAAATAATCCGACAGCGATCCCAATAAGAATCACATATTTGAAGAACCAAAAGCCGTTCTGAATCTTCGATCTTGCATCACGGGATGATTTCACTCCTAACATCAAAATCATAAGCGTGAAGAAGAAAATGGCCACTGCTCCGCAAAGTCTATAAATTAGTCAATAAAATATCCAATGACTTCATCAGAACTAAATTTTTGATTCCGAATATCATACTCTTCTCTTCTCATACTAATCCTACTACAACTCTTCTCCAAGGGTTTATAAGTCTCAACTACTAACATATAAAATATCGTTAAATAAATTCAAACTCATACCTGTAAACAGCCTGGAAACCGACAGCATGGGAACAATTTATTCCAGCAATTCCAGACAGACCCTCACAAAACCAATTCGACTAAAAAAACGTCACAATAGCAGAAGATTGGAAACAGCAATACTGTTTGCTTAATGTTTTCACGGGGAGGGAGAAAGTCAGATTAAAAGAGGATAAGAACAATAATTGGAAAGAGAAGAAACGATTGTTTGCCTTAATTTTTTATGATATATAACTTTTTTTGATTTGTATTTGTTATTTAATATGAATATTTCTTGCAGAATGACTTTTGGTAATGTTTTAAAGGAGAGGATTATTAATACTGTTAGCCATAAGGTTATTGGTACTTTATATATTATTCTTGGGTATTAGGCTACATTTGGCGGTTCAATAATTATGCGTTTTGAATTGTCTAATCCAGGTGGTTATTTATTTTTTGGAAATGATCAAATTCATAATACAGTTTTGACTATATATGGTGTTTTAATGACTTTTTTTTGTTGTCATACCTATTTTCATTGGCAGGATAAACTTACATCAGCAAGTTTAGCTTGCACACCAGGTGCAAGCATTAAACACGCCATGAACGTACTGATCAACAACATCCCAGCATACATTACTCTGGTAGTCAGTGAGCTTCGGGTAGACGGACATGCTGCGCAACACAAAGAGCATGCTGCGCTACCGCAGCAGCATGCTAACTGAAAAGAAAAAGTAATAAAAGAAATAGAGCAATGATATATTTTACAATTAGTATAAAATAGAGTATTGCATGCCAAACACAATGACCAGTGCAAAAGCAAATATAGTATTCTGAATATCAATGTGAGTTCATACCAAACGCTCGGTAAAGCATCACAGCAATTTATCTAGAATGCCACCACCGAATGAACAGCAGACAATTCATTAGAAATGTAAAAGACTAAGAGAAAGTACAACTTTCAATACGCTAGCGTTCCTTTCAAAAATTAAACATTAATCGGGCACAAACAGCAACAGAAAATTTTCTTCAAGTTTTTTTTAATAAAAAAGTGCTGCTTACTATTTTTACTATTCTTACTTATATAATGCACTTTAATAAACAGCAATAATGATACGTAATCACTGCAACAGCACGTTGATTACCAAATAAGTGAATAGGAAAATAACTGTAACACCAAGATGATTTTGTCTTAAAAATAAAATGGAACGAACCGATGAAATGCATGCAGGTGCTGCTAGAAATGCACCCATTCAGACAGTATGAATTAGCCAGCAGAATCAAAATGAAGCCTGAAATTATATAAACTATCATTTAATGGAGAGTACTTAGGTTTACATGCTATCTCTTTGATGACTTTCTCATTTTATTACCAAGATATTTATAATAATTCGATCTCGGAGAATCGAAAAAGATTGAGATGGACCAAAATGATATTAAAATAACCAATCAAAAATCGCGCTAACACGACCTGCAAATCCGAGGAATAATTTTAATACGGTCCTGGTGTGTTCCACATCATTTCCTACTTCTCATTTTATTTGGCCGCGCCGCTTTACAATGAAGGACTGAATCAGATAAAGAATTGCCGTAGTGATTTCAAAATAATATGTGTATGGATTAGCCATTACAATGGAAAAGGATCATGTCCCTTTTGCGGCACATGGACAAAAGTGTTAAGCTAGAAAGCAGTGTTAAGCACCTAATACAGGGTCAAACAACACACTGAACACTGAACAAACTCGCCTATCTAAAATACATGCACGAGTACAGCACACAAATCATTTAGCAATGAAGGCGTGCCATATATGACATCATGACACGTGTCCAATTCCCCACCTGTACTCAACTATACATTTTGTTAATCCATCCGTGATTCTTTTCCGTCTGTTCGATAAACCTAACCTTATAATCTGCTTCACTGGACAAAGCTATGAATCTACTTACGATATTTCAGTGTAATTATAATGCCAGCTTTAATAGGAGTTTGCTGAACGAGCAGTTTATTTCTATAAAGCATTTATTTATAGCAAGTACAGAACACGCCAGAAAAGAAGGACGAAATTATATATTGTATGAGACAGAGTGTATCTCATTAGTCAATGCTTAAACCGGAAACAAGTCCATATATTGTATGTGCGAAGCATGGATATTTAAAGTCAGCTTTAATTTAAATCAACGAACCAAGACAAATATGGGAACAGTCCAGGACTGATGTGAAGAAACAGAAATAGTACAAAAAAAGGTTCAGAAAATATACAAACTGCAAATAATATGTGTTTACAAACCAAGGAAAAACATAAGCGTAGAAAGATACATTATTTTTCAGTGTGAAGTACTTTTAGATATCGTTTTCGAAATGCTTCGCATAAACAGGATCCTTTTTCATATCCTCGATAACAGCACTAACGTCACCTTTCAGGTCCGCTGCAAGTTTGGTTAGCCAACCATTACAATTATCGAAACCCATTCCTTCCAGCTGTATCACACAAAGTGCAATATGTTCATCTGCAATTTGCTAATTTTTACCGTCAAAAGTCGTGATATGATGTTACTTTCAAAACATCACGTCTTAACCGCTATCTAAACTAAAATTGTGAGTTCCTCTCCAATCATCAATAAGAGTAAATGAATAAAGAAAATAACCTGGGTAAACGAAATGACAATGTCGATTGTGTGGTCCAGGTTGCGGAACTATAAAAGGCGTACCAGCCATACATTTTCCACCATCAATAATAGGATAGAGAGGTGCATCTAAAAACTTGCATAATTGTTCCGCAATATAATAGTGAAAAACTAAGATATTGTTAATACATGCCATGTGCAAAACCAGCATATGCAGGGATCCTTACATTTCAGAACGGCTCGGCACAGCATGTAAATTGGAATGTTTTGAAGATTTAGATCATTTAGATCACTACATGCTTTTTATATTTCTATGAAAGTAATACGTGGTGCTGCGTACGGAACTTGTACATAGCAATAATAAAATAATGTAAAGAGATAAATATGTACTTGATTGATATTTGTTGCCTGGACTACTGATGTCCATCATTGTCCATTCATCGGAAATATCATCGCCAGAACCGGCAGCATCAAATGTTAGTTCTTTCGAATTCTGCTCCACTTTTTCTGTCTCCTTATGCCCGGAGATATGCATCTTCTTCATTGGCACATCCAATTCGTCCGAAATCTAGAAACAAAACTCAAGAAATCTGAAAACAATGTTTGTGTCAACTTGAACAAATAAATAAAATTATCATGAAGGTACCTGTAAAATAACAGTAATGCAGTAATGTGAAAGCTACTTCGAATAAAGTCATTTTCCATATTTCACGTTCGGGAAGGCAACCGGATTTGCCAACTATCAAAAACACTTTTCAACATACTCACCGCTTCAACGTTCTGAGCCGTCGGACCATCCTTTTTCCGTTTTCCATCCTCATTTTCAGGTTCGTCAGTCTTCGAAAAATTTTTTTTATCTTTCTTTTGCGCATCCTTCGTCTCATTATTAGCTGTATTGCTTTCCGCCGTATCTCTCGGTGTAGGGCCCTGTGTTTTGGGGATTTTCTCCGTAACACCATCATGCTGTACATCCATATCAACATCGATCCCTGAAATTATGAAACAAATCAGCTTATTTTTACATACGACGAGTGCTCCCAGCGATATTAAAACTGATTTCAACACATTCCAAAATTTATGAGCAAATGTTTAGACACCGCTTATAGTCACGAAACATTTTATATCATACCAAGTTTGCATTACTAGTTGCACACTCATTTTTATTCGTAAGAAAAGTTACGAACTAATCAGTATTATAAAGATCTCCAAGTTCTCCACTATTGTAACGATGAAAGAAGTTGAAAAATTAGTGAAAATGGTAAGTTTTCAAGAAAGTTGGGTTTGGAAGAAATAATTATACTCTTTCTCATATTCTTCGGGAAGCAGAGACGAATACAAAAATAATACCAAAATTTGCAAGCGCCTGTTGAATCTGTGAGCCAACTTCTTTCAGATATTCCATGCCTTGAGCCACAGATTCTCGAAATTGTGGTGGAAGTCCATCAGTATTCTCTTTGGCATTCTTTAAAATTTGAGAAATTACCTGATCAAAAGAAAAATCACTTACCAGATATGTTAAGTGCATTATTATGGAACCACCTAGTTAGTATAAATGGTAATGCTTTCACTTGTTGATTGTTTAAGTCAGTTGATTATATTGTATAAGTCAGATTATATATTACAATCAGTTCTTACAAACTCCGCTTAACTTTCATTTCCTGAATCATAAAAAAAAATACTTCGGCCAAATGTGTAGCAGCTGCTGCAGCATGTGTTGCGGCATGTCTGGCTGCATGCTGTGCTGCAGCACTAGCTGCATTTTGGGCAGCATGAGCAGCAGCCGCAGCAGTTCGTCCAAAAATACCTTCCTGTAAAAACGAATCACGATGACCAAAAGCGTGGTTATGCTGTCGCCAAGTGCGTCTCGGACGCAGATGCTCGACTTTCTGCAAAGGAAAATATTACAGAACCAAATAATTTTTATACAAAAATGATGTTTCCAAATTCTCTTGCAGTAGAAATTTGAGTCATTGCTTCATCCATATAATATACAACTGATACAGATGATGTGCTGAGAATACCACGGCCTTTAAATGTAGAACTAACTTCAACTAACGCCAGAATAGATCCATTTCACTTCATTCATCCCAAACTTTTTGAAAGGAAGTCGACTGTGCATTCTCTATATCTGATTCATTAGACTAACTTTCTGCATGTCATTCAATAAATATATTTTTAAAAATCCATTTAAAAAAACATGTTGCTCACCGGTGTTCGTGGTGTCGCATAACGAATCAAAGCATGGTCTGGATGTGTTCCATCTTTCTCACATTCTTCACATAGATCGAAGTCATCACAAACACAACATTTATAACGAATTCCATAAAGTGGCTGATCGCAGTGATTGCATGTAACAAACGGATGGATTTCTTTCTGCAAAAGACAATAAGCTGAATGGAACAAACAATATTTAAAGAACCAAGTGTTTCTTATTTGTTGGCTATTCTCAACCCTTCCTCACCCAGCTCTAATTCATGCTAACTTTTATAAACGATGAAAAAATTCCACCGCAATGAAGAGTTGTTATCATCACAGATGGGAATCCTCAACATAATCCCCAAAATCGTCAACATAGTCCCCAAAATCGTTCTTGGCAATAATGTCTTTACAACAAAAACATAACATTAGAATTCTTAGCGTTGTCCTTGAACTTGAGCATTGTGTTTCACCGTTATATAACGGTTCGATTCAACCACTCCAGAAAAAAGCAACTTATAAATCAATAAACTACGGTTTTTTCTTTATTAGGATATTTACGACTAACTCATTTTTAATTACAGATAAAACAGCATGAAACATACCACTTTCTTACTTTCTTTCTTCGTGTCTCTCTCTGATTTTTCTTTTTCACATTTCGAGAGATCTTCTGCAAAAATAACAGATACTGTGATTCCAAAAAAAATGAACTGTAAGATCCGGTGATGAACTTCGGAAATGTATTCGTAACTCGAAAATCAATAGAAATCCGAAATCAGGGTCTTGGTTGACTGTTTTAGAAAGTTTCACTTTTCCACCAATAGTTCTACAATGCGCTAAGAAATGCTTTAATAAAGTAGATTTAAAAAATACCGATCGTTTGAATGCGAAGTTGGCCATTTGTGGCGGTCTGAAGAGCGCCGCGCAATTCCTCGTCAGTTGAAAAACATATTAAGTCACCTTCTTCATCTAAATAATTTTTTATTAAGCAATTTCCTCGAAGATTTATTTCTACTTCATCTTATATCTCAGCAGATAACATCTGCTGATGAACTGCTTAATTGTGATTCCTGTTCATTACATCTTCGAGAAGATATAATATAAAGACGTATTATAGCGTTAATTTACTTAACCAATCTCCTTTCTTCCTGTTTCAGCATGTCATTTACAAAAAAATGAATCAAGAGATAACCACTCCAGTCCCCAACTACCTCACTCTATTGTGCAAGCAACAACAATGCTGACAATGATTTAAAATTGGATTAAAAACAGAATTTATAGTAAGAATTGAATTAAAAATAGAATTCGTAATTTACAATGGTTGCTAATCAGTTAACATATATACGATATTCCTGAGATCTAAAATTACCTTCCCATCCCAATTTGCCCATAAAATCAGGAGCTACGGTGTTGATTTTAATCAATAATAGTTGATACAGGTCACCGGCAACATCCATAGGTAATTGAAAACGTCGAAAAGTACCAAAGTGTTCCCACTTGATGTTAACAACATTGTTCGCGGCCATTTTGCTAAAGCAAATGTATTTAGCGGAAGTGCTAGGAATATAGAACAGTTTGTGAAATGTAAAGCTGAACGTGACACAGAATGAGCAGAAAGGACAGCGTCCAAATCTATAGCTGACCAGGTAATCCATACAAGAAATAAGAGAAATATCTGAACCACTACTGTCAGTTCAGATATTTCTCTAAACACGACCTCATCTCATTCAACATAATGTATTTCCTCTACTTGGTCATCAACCATCCAATCAACCGACCGATCAATAAGATGAAATAAACAATATAACGCCGCTTCTTAGTTCACTGCCTCTCCCCATCACAGCATATGATGAAAGTGCTGCATATAGTGGAACCCTCAAAGTCTGATTATGGATGACAGCACACACACACACACACACACACACACATATATATATATACACACATACACATACACACATACACATGCATACACAAACAACACACACATTGAGAAAAACAAGGCGGCATCTGACACCTGTGTGGCAGGCAAGCTGGCAAGCAGGAATGGCACAAAGCAGGATACCCAATCCAACACATCATCAATGCCCTCCATCCTGGTGTCACAACCAGCGACGACCCATCAACATCCAACCCTAATCAATAATAAGTCTGCTGACGAACTTTTTGTCATAAATTTCGCTCGGTATTATTGTTGCTGATGTTACAGTATTATTTAAAGAGAAGAAAAAGATGGAAATAAAAGTATGTATTCAACAGTGCAGCATTTAACAATACAAAAGAAGACAAATAAATGAAAATAATGCACATGCATCATAGCAAAAGCAATTATATAGTAATGAGTTTCAAATAACAAAAGAAATGCGATAACTATGCAAACCCTACGACGACCTCTATTTTAAATGATTATTTATCAGCTAATTCTCTGAAAAATATGGATTATAGGAGTCGGAACTTGTTCAACAAGTATGATGGAGATGTAGATCCTGATAATGAACTGCTGATGCGACACTCTTCAGATTTCACGAAGAATCAATGCATCTCGTTCCTCACCAACACCAATCCATTTCACCGGTACTCCGACATACTGCTCAATGAATTCAATAAAAATTCGACAATTTTCTGGCAATTCATTGAAACTCCGCACAGCCAATATTGGTGTGTTCCATCCTCTTAATGTATGGTATTCAACCTCTATTTTCTCCCAGTCAGAAGCTTGCGCTGAAAGTCTAGCAATTATTTTAACTAAAAATCAAAATAACTTGATAGCGCGAAGTTATGATGAAAGGAAGTCGAGCGTGTATCGTTTGCCTTCCAATAACATTGTTAATAAGGTAGTTTCTTACTAAAAACTCCAGTCACGCAAAAGTAATGCAAAAAATCGCATACAAACAATACCTACATGGAGGAGACTTCAACAGTTGTTTATCCAACCTGTAGGCGACGCCTGCCTTGATTTCATTAAATGTATCGAGAACATCCAGTTTTGTCAAAGCAATGCTTAAAACCACAAATGTCCTTAATATACAACAAAAATATTCAAATAAAACTGATTTCTTAAATAATTTCAGAGATACATACTCTGTGAATCCATTAATGAGATGTGCTCTCTTTAAAAGAACTAAATCGATCCAACCGCACCGTCTCTTACGACCCGTCGTAACACCAACCTGAAATTGGCAGCCGGATCAAAAACAAAATGAAACAAACAAATTTCGATAATTTCCAATTTTCCAGGAAATCTGGGCCAGGCATCTCTTATCAATGGCAAAGCTTTCGCCTTCTTAGGAGTGAGGTACCCATTTTGGGCATTTAAACTATGATAATATAGCAATGCACACCGACAGTCAAAGGCAGTCCGCACTATTACAAGTCTTACTAGTAATGGACATATAACGGAACGTTTTGATCATTAATCCCATGAATCCTTCCCGGAATGTACTCCGGGATAGTAATTATAAGCGTATGTACACGCTTATAACTATTATCCAGTTGCTCCAAAAAAAGGCTGTGATGAATGACTAGAAAATACTATTAAGTCGGATGGAATACTATAGGTATTAAAAATGTTTCAACTGAAAATGGACCAAATGAACTTATTCGGTAATAAAGTGATGGTCTTACTTCGTGTCCTATTCGCTGTAGCTTATCACCTACATCATCTTTTAGTTCCGTAGGAAATGGTCCAGAGCCAACTCTTGTAGAATATGCTTTCATAACGCCTATCACTCTCTTGATCGACATTGGTGGAAGTCCCAAACCGGTAACGGCACCTCCAACTGTTGCATTAGATGACGTTACAAACGGATAAGTCCCTGAAAATATCTAAATTGAAGACTGCAACTCTAACAAATTAACCATTAAGCTCTCTACAATTTCAATTTTGACTATAATCAATAATCATAAGGGTACCCTTACGATTAAAAGCTTAAAATATTACAACCGAATTTGCACAATAAGAAGTAACGCCAAAAACAGTTACCAAAGTCAATGTCCAGCATAGTACCATTTGCACCTTCAACAAGTACAGTTTTACCGCTGCTCCGTAACTCATCCAATGTCACTACTGTATCACCAACCAGTGCCAATTCATTTAGTTTATTCGCGTGTTTCTACAAATGAATTCCATCAATCGCTCTACGCTATTTTGGTTAATTTAAACAAAAATGAATGGACTTACTTTGAATTTTATCAACTCATGTTCGACGTCAATCTTCAAATCAGGATATTGACTTTGATAATATTTAACAAGCTCTCGAAATCTAAAAATTCAATTCTTTTAAACTTCGTATTTTTCGAGCTACATAAGACAGAATGAATAATTCAGATAAAGATTCGTAATCCCACAAATACGATACTTCAAAGTAAATCCATGAAAATCGTAAACTAAATCGCCAACTCGGAGGCCATTTCTGAAACATTTGCTAGAATATGTGGGTCCAATACCCCTTTTCGTCGTTCCAATTTTGCTGAAAAAAAAATAATTTTGTGCTCATAGCAATATAGAGGAGTGGAAAACAGCCTGAAGTCAATGAGATCACAACTAACAAATATCAAACTTTAGCACAAAAAAAAATTAAAAATCTTTTACTTAATATTCAACCGATCCTCCGAGTAACCATCAACGAGCATATGGATACCACACACAAGATGTGCTCGATCACTGATCAGTATTCGCTCCTCCCATCCGGGTATGCTCGTAATTTTGTTGTGACTCAGTTCTTCAAAAAACGAATCTAAATTCACTACCGTGCCATTCCCTGAAAATGAAACATATATTTCGATAAATGCAAATGCATGGATAAAATGAACAAATGCAAGTAAGCATCGCGTTAGATAATTCATTTTCACTAAAGATAGCAGTTCAAATTAAAATCTTACCAATTATGTTGAAACACTTTTCAGAAATGATTCCTGAGGGTAAAATGTGAAAATCATATTTTTGTCCATTTGCAACAACAGTGTGACCCGCATTGTTGCCACCTTGACACCGCGCGACAACTTGCACCTATGATTTTTCAGTTATGTCTTTTTTAAATAATGTAGCAGAATGCGAGAAACAGTAAAAGACAAAGAAATGAATATAAAAAAACTGCGACAATCATTTCCTGTTTACCAAAATACATAAGTTTGGATGCAAATTCGCGCTTATACTTCCCAAAAAGTTTTATGATGTCAATTCTCAATACATCCATATGATTTTCTTGATAACTCGTAAACCAACGTAACACCGCATGGAAAATTCACCTCATCTTTCGCAATCAGATAATCGACAATTTTTCCTTTACCTTCATCACCCCACTGAGCACCCAGCAAAACGGTCACCGGCCCTTTCTCTCCTTTCTTTAACATGCTAGATTATCCTAAAACAAAAATGATGGCCATCTTGAAAAAAATAATTTCAGTAACGAAGAGCGCAAAATGTAACAAGCACGCCATATAATTGACCGCAACACCGCTTTTCAAGATTATCAGATACGTATGATAAAAAATGAAAAGATTTATTCTTTTCTGTTTGAAATTGACATTCAAAACACAATGATGAGGAAAAAGAGTACAATGCCTCCAGTAAAGGGAAAAGCGCAATTGAAATAAAAAGTGCATTCAAAATTATTATAAAAATATGAATTGCAATACGATATGAAATGGTCATAACATTTAAACAATGGCATAATTGCTTATCTTTTATAAGTTTAAAAGTCATATAGAAGTTTTTTTGTCCACGGCTTTTAGATTTATAAAAAATGAATGGAAATACTCATATTTGAATAGAGTGTACTTACATAACAAAGTGTCTAATCACATTTCCCATATCAGCCTGCATGAAATACTTAAATGACCTTCCGATGTCGTTGGGATCATATTTCGCATATCTCTATGCACTCTCTTTAAGAATGGATCAGAAAGAATATACTAGATATATCGCGAAAAGGAGTTTTTTGAGTTGAAATTCGAATATATTTTAAAAATTTTTAATGCAACTCTAACAAAAATCTGCTTTAATAGTAATTTTCTTACATGATAACCTTCCTTTTACAAAAAAAATTTTCAAAAAAATTTTGAAAGCATATCACAATAGACTGGAAGATGAATTAAACATTTCACGTGAAAAGCTGTAGAGGGAACAAATAAACAAATAACAAAAAACGTGCAGACTGCAGGCGTTGACAATTTTATATCGATTAAGTTCGATGAAAAAGTAATTTGCAATTTTTATGAAAATCCTCCCCTCCCCCCACAAAATAGTATCACGGCAAATTCAAATCGCATGTCTAGAATTAAAGAGGTAGTCTAAACCCAACCTCCCGAAACAAATTCAATATTCCGTCATTTCTTGAGATTACAATATTCTGCGATTTCTTGAGATTTCAAAATCAATTCCTTCTCAGCAATATCTTGAAAACTAATTACCAAGAATGTAATATTCCATTAATCAGCACCACAATTAGTCGGTCAATGTGATAAAGAATATAACTTATCTGGAAATAATATTCCACGGGCACGCTCGAAATGGTTGTCAACTTGTGAAGCACTATACAAGTAGCTTCTTGAATTGATTGAATGAAAAAATTTGAAATTTAGAGCAGTAAAACAATCTGAAACAGCAGTTCTGCGCAATCGAATAAAAAATGGATAAAAATTTACCTTGCTGTATCGAGAATTGTTTTAATACGATTAAACAGCTTTATCAAAGCATAAATTCAGCTAAATTTGTCTTTTAGTTTTTTAGCATTAAAATTTCATAAAATTACCGGATAAACGCACCTGCGTAATTTTCCATGCAAATTCTTCAGTTTTCACGGGTTGTAGTAAGGATGTTTACGAAACCGGGGTGGTTCACTGTCAGTAAAAAAGCTTTCAATAATGTAATCTCGATTTCTTTGACAAGCTGGCCCACACATACGTGAACCACACTTTTCGCATGGATAATGACAGCCTAAACATGCAAACCTAGAAGTGTAAATTTCAAATGTACAGTTGGTTCTCAATAAAAATCATCAAAACAGAAGACAGCTGACGTTAATGCTTTCCCCTACTTTCAATGCAGGCATAAAACTTGATTTGAAATTCAGAAACTTTGAAAATACTCGCTCACCAGGGCAAGATGTCCGTAGACAATCGCATAACTTGACACAATGACCATCGGCCTTGATAAGATAACCCTTCTCGTCATGATGCGGAAAGTAATCCGTTATGCGATTGACAGATTTTAGTGCTAGAATTAAGTGGAAATATTCTTGGCAGTGATAAAATTTTTATACTGACTTCAAATGGTTTGCAAATTTTATAATAAAGAAAAATATGCTCAGAGCAGATAAATCACTGACGGAAATGCGAGGAATTAATTTTTCTTTTAAAATAGAAATAATCCAGAATAAAATTCGAGACGTTTACTGTAGTAAACATTTGGAGAAATATGCTAGTATAAGAGTCTGTCGAAAATCATATAACAAACCTTTTCGATGTCTTGCAGATCGACGAACTCCTTGCCTATTGTGCAAGGTTTCTTCCGTAATAATTGCAACTGCCTCCCCAGGATTGATAAATCTGAGATTCTTCAATTCTCGATGCATTTATGGTTGTGATAAATTTCCTAAAAACATCTCTCGGAAGAATAGAATAAAAAGCAACTGAAATCTTATCTGACATTATCATAACACGGTATATATCTCAACGGAATACAATAGACTGATAAGTAAGATATTCATTCAGAAATGATTCGTTAATAAATAATAAAATCCATGGAAAGTGAAATGAAAGATCGAATAAAACACTGTCTTATCTTTTGACTGTTTAATATTCATCACAATTACAACAGCAACATATATACTAAATTTCGTCGAATGCACAGTACTTTCTGTTGGAAAAGAAAGAAATATAAATGTGTAGGATTGAAAAACTTCAAAAATGATTAAAGAATGTCATTCGATTGAAATGAAAGATATCTACTTCCAGAAGTGATAGGTTCAACCTAGCAAAGGTAAAGTTTCCTCGTTGTGCACAAACCTCATCCTTATCTTTGATCTCAGGCATAGGTGCAAATCGATATGCAATAAAGAGTTGCAAGCATTTCGCAACAGCGCTATACGATACCATCCATTGCTATCAGATTTCAAAGAGGTGTTCCTGAAGCAAGACTATCATCAAAAACTCGTTTTGTCATTTTTCGTCGAGAAAAAAAAAGATCGCATCGAAGGCTTCAACATTTCATTTCCTACTTAATTAACTCATAAATTAGTCTATTAATAGCATGCAATTGATAATTAATCAAGACAATCGGTTCGTAATTGCATAAATAATTTGTTAAAATTAAAATGAAATAAAAGCATTTGAAAAGATGAAAGAAAAGAATGTTTCATCTTGAAACTGGTAATTCGTTACTTCCCCAAATAGAATAATTCGCTGTGCTCCATATATATATATATGTGTGTGTATGTGTGTGTCTGTGTGCATGTGTATGTGCAACGCCGTGACCCGAACTCTGTTGTTATTTTTCCATAAAAAAAGAAGAAAAATTAAATTTGAGTTGCCAATTGCCACACTTCATCCCCGCACTCAACTTCTCTTCCTATCCATCAGCCCATTTTCAACAATTCCGCCTTTCTCTCTTTCAACAAGTATTACAGATCTGAAAGAATTGTCATTAGGATTTATTCGAGATCACATCCTAAGTAATCGTGATGTCCAAGCGGAAGGACGCATAAAACGTGTTCACATCACTACAATTATCATTGCCATCATCATCACTATCATTGCCATCATCATCGTCATCATCATGAACGCAAACAATCCGGTATTGCTCTGGTTTGAGCGCCAACCCCCTCCGTGTTCCTTCCTAATCCTTCCCAAAAATTCATCCTCCAATCCGCAAGCGAAAACCATTTTGGCTGATAAGTGAAGTCTCTGAAATGCCGTTGTCATTCCTCACTACTCTTCTTTTCTTCATGACAATTGTGCCCAATCGTTCCAATGCTCAGGTTATATTTCATGTTATTATATTAAGTTATTGAATCCTTCTCCTTTCTCCTTCTTTCCTCTATCCTTATTTCCTTTCACTTTCATACATCACTGCACAACAAATTTTTTACACTATTATCAATTTTTTTTTGAAATGATCATTGAAATTGATTTAAATTCTTGGAACATATTCATTCAAATTAGGGTGAAATTAAACTACATATGATATTAAAATTTATTTCTGGCAAGATTCTGTTATTATTGTTATTGTCCTCTTTGATTAAAGATATCAGTTAATTTATAAAATCGGAATTGAATTAATACGTTGTTTCCTGATTTGGAAATTTTGCAGTCTGTCAGTGCAAATAAGATAACTGGAAACGGAATTTTGGCACATACATGAATTCCTGACAAATTTACTGAAAATAAGAAATCTGCTTATCATTGTGTCTCAAATAAGTAATATTCAATTAGATAGCAAACAATATTCAAGTGAAGTTTCGTTTCTGCACTTCTGATTCCTGAAATGCATTCGTGAATGTCCCGGTAGGGAAAGTAACTCTTCACGGAAATTTACTATTAATGCGCTAATCATTATCACAAATGATATTTTTACAGAGCAACAGTAATAATCCATTACTGAACTTTCTATCAAACGATAACATTGGACGATTGACACAAATAGCAACAGAAATTGTTGCTTCCGCTGCGAAGCATTCCGCTGCAGCTAATATAGACGCATTGTATAATTTCCTTCTTATCAAATCAGTCTTATATATCTCTAATTAGTTCCTTTCTAATTAATTATTAAATTTAATCACAGTAATTTCAGTTGATATGACAAATTTAAGAGAGCAAATGACCATTATTCAATTTTAGAATTTATGAGAAATATTGTCTTCTATGTCAAAGTACAAAATAAATGCTATTCTAGAACAAGGCCTGGTCATCCGGAACCGAAACCTATATCGCTCAATTCTCGGCCATCTGAAATGATCGGCCAGTCTATAACAAATGCCATTTCACCAGCTATTACTAAACTTGCTGAAGTTTCTGCAATTGAAAATCGTGGTCTACTGTCACGACAACAGCAGAGAAATTCTTATAATGTTGGATCGAGTACTGGTACCAAATCATTGATGGATATTGCAAATGCATTTTTAGGATCTTCAAGACCTAGTAAATCATCAGCAGCAGCTTTTGGAGCAAAAACACAAACATATACAAAGAATGCTGACATCAATTGGTTACCAACTATTCGAGAATTAGCACCTGGCGCAAATAGCAATTTTGGTATACCAAAGGGTGAAGGTTCGTCAATAGTCAATATCGAATCTTTAATTATTTATTAATCATTTTAAAACAATATAGTCAGCTGATCATCAAATTTTTTATTTGTTCAACATTACATCTTTTATTTGGAACATTTATTTTATTTTTTTAAATTAATTAATTTTACTAAATTAATGCACCTTTGATCGTTTTTTGATCATTGATTTTTAATCAATGTTTCTAATAAAAAAATTTTTTCTTTTTGAAATAATTAATGTCTTTGGCGCTTTTTAAAAAAAATTTTAATTAATCTTTCTTAATTAATCAATCTTTGAGAATTTTTTGAATGGTAAAATTAAAGTTTCAAATTAGAAATGAAGGAAATTTATTAATTGATTACAAACAGGTTTGATTTGAATATTTCTTTTCAGGCTGTCTACCGTTCTTGAGCGAATTCATGAGAATAGCATATGGGAATTGTGTAAAAGTAGCAGATGAAAAGGCATGGGATCTTTGGGGTAATCAAATTACTAACGCTCTTTTCGGTGGTAAAATTGATTTCATCGGCGCTACGTGAGTGTACAAATATATGTTAATAGTTGCTTAAACATCTAAATCTCTCAAATTTAAAGACAGAAAAAAGCACAATACATTAAGTGAAGTGAATCTTCACGTATATCACTTAGCGTTAATAGTTGGTTGCTTTTTGTTACGTGTTATAATAACGTTGTCAAAGAGAGAATCTTATTCATCTGTTAACTGATCGGTATGATGTCGATGAACTATGAAAGTTTAAAACGAATTCAATTTATTCATTACAATTATATGAAATGGAATAAATGTTACTCAATAAAAAGCTATCCAATTTTTCCTTTGTTAATTTCCGATGTATAATATAAAGCAATTTTCTGTTAATTGATAAATTTTTACTAAAATTTAAATTTGAATCTTTTTTTTCAGAAAAGAAACATGTAAACGTGGTGCGGAACGTCAGCATTGTGGTCAACTGATAAAGGTGATCAGTGAATGTGATATCTTAGGATCACTGCAAGTCGGTATAGAAATGCAAAGGGCAATTCAACGGTGTGAAGAATTTTCGGGTGTCATTGATCAGGTATTCAGTAATTCTATCTGTTTGTGATCTTTTGACATATTATTTCACCAGAATATCTAACCCATAAAAAGTATTTAATGTTCACGAAATCATTTCCCTTCATTTTATATATCTGGCACTTTTTTCTTGTTTGATAAAATCGTTTTTTCCTTTCAGAATCCAATAGAAGTACTCAATCAAGTGAATAGTATTATTGGTGGTGAATTTGCGCAAGGATTTTTGCATAAATTTCTTGGTTAATTATATTTATTTCTATGCTCAATGATCTCATTCAGTCAATGTTTGTAACTTTCTAAATTTAATTTTATAAAATTTAGCTTTTTTGTGAATGAGAAGTAATTCATTCAATTATTAATACTATTGATACTGTAAACTATTATTGATACTGTAAACTAATTTTTGCTATAAAGTTTCATTTCATCATTTCTCTGTTGATAATAGGATCAGTTGAAAAATAAAAAGGCATTATAAAATTTGTAGAAAATTAATTCAAATTTCATTTAGAACTTTCCATTTTCAAACTGATAACAAATGAATGATACGTATGAAATTTATTTAAAAAAATTTTAAAAATTTCATATAATATTTAAAGAAATGCGATAAATGATGTTATCGTACATTTTTATTTTTGAATTTTGCATTTCATTCAAAAATTTACAATTTGAGGTCAAAATGTATGAAAGAGTTAGGCACAGAATAACATTTTAATTTCATTAAATTAAAAGGTATATAACAAAAAAAATAATTTGATTAAAAGGTGTAACAAAATAATTTAATTTCATTAAATTAAAAGGTATATAACAATTAAAAAAAGTGTCAGATTTTATTTGTTCAAAAAAATATTCTAAAAAACCGGTAAAAATTTTAATCAAATCGAATGAAATTTTTTAATCAATTTAATCTAAAGGGAATGATGCGCAGTACGATTGCTGATTAAAACGGAATAATACGAAGGTATGCCATAATTGTACAATAACTCTCATATGTATCCTAATATTAATACCGGATTAATGGTAATGAACGGAAAATGAGGATACAAAATAAAAAGGTTTCATTCAGGTATTCCCAATAAATACCAATTTAATCCGTGTAATTTTATCTTTAAAAGAAATAAATTATACAATTTCTTTCGAGATATGAAGTTATAAGGTAACATGAACTTATTTTGTATTATTTATCTTTTAATTCTTCCGGCACAGATTTCAAAAATGAAACATTGAAAAGTATCGAATTCCTACTGTATCATTCAGGAATAAATCCTTATAATCAAAATAACGAATCCCATTTTTAGTTATTCTTATTTGTAATTTGTAAGGAAGCAAAATGTTAAAGTTAAGTTGTGCATGAAATTAGCTGAATATAAAATCAAACGATGACTAAAACTGATAAAAGGCAATCCTCCCTCCCTTTATTCCTTCCTCAATTACTGCTCTTACATCAATCATCCATTGGCAGTCACTGGCACGATGTACTAAAGTCTACTACGGCTGCGTTAGCAATAACAACCGGAAATTTAACGACCATTTGGTGGCTTAAATTATTCTGACCACTTCCATAATCAGTGATGAGTCGCTTTTAACCTCTTTCATGCGCAGTAATAAATTAGTTTTGGCTATTTTCATATCCATTAATAAGTTCGTTTTCTGATCGAATGTTCTTTTCTTTTTGCAAAACTTGAGAATTTGAAATC